TAGTTTTACACTTTTTTTTCAGAACCATATAAACCCACTAATGAAAGCTGCTTTAAATGCAATGCAGACATAACATAGCAATTTTTGAATCATATCGATATATCGAAATTTTCCAAATTGAGAAATGATATCGAAATGATATTAAAAATTATTAGTAAATGTGTCAGATTATCGTCAAAATAAATCTCCCGTTGGTGCTTACACTATGTGTTTAATATTTGCTGTATAATAAAATTAAATAAACTAAAGCGGCAAATTGTGCTTGTGACTTGAATAAAAACATCGCGAAATGCCAAGCGGCGTTGCTTTGTGCTCTGCGTTCGCAGTAATTCATGCTCTCCCCAATGCAAAACCTCAAAAGAAACCGCCTGTTGTGGACAAACTGTCAGTGCTGAGATTTGTTTTAAAACGTTTGATCAATATAGGCTCCAGAAAAAGCCGTGGCAATTTGGATTTCAGATTTTTTTTTTAATCAAAGTGTCAACTTTATGATCTTTAAATTTTATATGGGATAGGCCTATATTATATATTCTCGATACTGGATTTCCGATATTATTTTGATAATTGAAACTTATGATATGGATGGTACGCACAGTCACTGCTCAAAAGTAGAACAGTTTTCTGCTAACTGTAAGAGCTGGTTCATATCAAACAAATGCAAAAGGAATATTTATAACACCAAGAAACCTTTGCTACGAAATTTGCTACCGTTGAAATGATGGGCGGTATCATAAGTCCGACGCCTCAAAGGTCCGACGCCTCATAAGTCCGAAATTTCGGAGTTATGAGGCATCGGACTTATGAGGCATACAATTTATTTATTCCGCCTCATACATGTAGGTCCGACGCCTCATAAGTCTGATGCCTCGTAAGTCCAAAATCGGAAAAATGAGGCGTTTAATTTGTCGGACTAACGAGGTATCGGAGCTATGAGGCGTTGGATTTATGAGGCGTCAGACCTATGAGGCTTCGGACTTATGGGCCTTTATTTGGTTTGGGGATGCGATTTTGTCAGACTTATGAGGCGTCGGACCTACGAGGCGTCGGACTTATGAGCGGACCCCATGTTCAACTTTGCAAATTTGCAACGGACAGACTTGACTTGACAATTCACATTCGTGCCGAGCATGAAGGGGCCCTTATGCAACGCCATCAGATTGACCCCAGGATGTGACCACTGTGTCAAGGGTGAAAGGTCATTTATTCATGGTTTATTTATAAATCCATTTTTTTAAAAAGTGACACATGGCCGCGACAAATAAGACTGAACTGCAGCAATGCCACTTACTATTTATCAGCAAATGAGCCCACCACGGTGCCGACAATCATACTGGATCCGAAGCCAGCTACGAAGAGTTGCTCTATCTGGTGTGGTGTCATCCCATAATGCTCGTACAAGGCATAAACGTAGGGACCCTGTAACCAATCGGCAGCTGTAATCACAGGAAAAAAACACTGTCATCGAAAAAGCGAATTTCGCCCCCCCCCCCCAAGATCTCGGAGATCGAGTGACTAAATTTTGAAACTCAGTACATGCGTAAAGCAACTCATCATGAGCATACCCAAGAAATTTTGTGACTATAGGTCAAAGGGTTTTGGAATGATGGCGAATTAATTATTCATATGTACGAATGGTAATTTTGGTCTGTGTACACGACGTATATGGAAAAATTCTGTAAAAATGTTTCGCTACGCAGCAAAACATGGTCCGATTTTTATGTTTTTGGGTTCAAAAGATGCGCAAGGCTTGAGGCTAAAACGTCACAACAGCTCGGGTCGCGAAATTTCTTTTTTCAAAGCTATCGCGGAAAACAATTTAAGGGGGAGGGGCAGATTCCCCCGGCACTTTTAGGGTTAAGAGCAAAGCATTTGACATGAATGTAAACTTGTAGAGCTCTACATGTACATGTACCTACCCATGGCCAAGAGGTAAACCACCAAATATGTGTGCTGAAACTTCTTGAAAACGACATCATCTGAAGACGGTACAGCAGAGCGTGTGTACAAGTACAGCAGACCACAGAATACGCACAAGGCGTAGAAAGACTGTATGAAAATCATGAGGCAGCTTTAGATCCGACGACTCTGTGGAATGCATACAAATTCAAAAGGAAATACAAAATTTGTATTAATAAACACAGCACGTACAAAATTAATATATCAAAATTAAATGCAGACATGTGATGTAGGCCTCATGTCATGCATGTAGGCCTATACTATGATCATGATGATGCCGGTACATTGTGCCCAATGTAACTTGTATTGTAAATAAAGGTAGGCTTTTTGGAGACAAACTTTGGGTAATACTTATGCAGTTTTAGGCCTATAGACCCCTTACTTCAGTCCAAAATTAGGATGTAAAATACGGCAGACGGGGTGCATGCTGCACTCTTACCTCTTTTCTAAAAATTGAAAATCCTGGCTTAATTCACGATCGATCCATCGTGCTTGCGTTCAGCTGTGGTGTGGTCACGTCAGTGGGAAATTCATGAAATTATGCGATGTGTGGTCTCCTGCAACTACATGGATTCTGGGGAGATATTTGTAAGGGGTTGAAGCCTGATAGGTAGATAGAGGGCGCTATGCATTTTGTGGACAAGCCTTTCCGTCTTCAGTTTCCACTGGCAACCACTGACTCTAAATTTTTAAACAACATGCTCTCGTGAAACAGAAGAACACGGGCTCATCTGTGCCATGTGTTAATTTTTGTATTGTATTATCACTTCAAATGTATTGCCGCTCAAAAACTGTCGTGTTTTTTTTGCATCCTCAATGTACCGGTTTTCAAAACACCGACATCCCGACTTGAGTTACACCCTATCATACTACTCGAAAATAGGCCACATACATAATATCATTATCACCAAGGTCAAGTCGTGGGACTAAAAAAAAATTACCCCCCCCCAAAAAAAAACGTGGGGGGGGGGTGATCAAGCCCCCCACCCCCAGGACCCCCCCCCCCCCCCCCTTGGGTGCGCCACAGTGATCCAACTCATTTTGCAGACCTGAACTTGCATGCAAATTGTGTAGACCCGAACTTGCATGAAATTTCGTACCTATGAGGCGTCGGATTTATGAGGCGTCGGATTTATGAGGCGTCGGACCTATGAGGCGCGTCGGACTTATGATACGGCCCGAATGTGCTTCCCTCTCGGGCGAAATGTTATTGTGCTATGATGGGGTGGGACACTGAATAGCTTTGTCCAAAACATATATAGGCCCATTAATTTGATGTGCTGCCCTCTATACATTTGGATGTCTGCTATCACTCTCGCAATGCATCACGTTTACTGACGCATATTCACACTCGATGCTTCGTGAAAAGATGTTGCTGAAAAAAATGGCCGTATTACATTTTTTGACATCTGCCACGGTTGTGTCCCCAAATATGCGTTGTCCTTTGAGTTTGCAGTGATTATGTATTCAAAACTGCGCTTAAAGCTGGTATTTTGTACGTGGTATTTTGTAAATAACATTCTCCCACACAGTCAACTCTAAATTTAAAAACAACACTTTAAATCAATTAAATCAAACAAACTCAACCATGGATTGGTTCTCGTCACTCGGTTTATTCAACGTCATTGGTCATTGGAACCATTGTTTTTATCGCAATATACAAGCAAAATGTAAAATGTGCACATTAATTTACATCCAATGAAAATGATTAGTTTTTTCCTCTTCCCATAATATGGATGTGTCTTAAAACGGCATGCGATCAAGCTACATGAGTCGTTTGTCGACCCTGGTAATTTTTTTATTACAGATTTGAAAAGAGCACAATCTCAGCATTACTGCTGTGAAAGCCGCATAGGCCTACTGATACCATCTTTAGTTAATAAATTATGGAAGTCGGAACACCAAGAGATGTGATGAAGTGATGTGATGAAGTGGCCCTATTTTGTCCTGTATCTCCAAATGAAAATTCCTGACAAACGACTCATTTAGCTTGAACACATCACAATTAAGCTGTCAAATGATGACAAAACGCCCTCAGTCATGCATAATGCGAACATTTTGATTAACTGATTTTACTTTAATAAGTTATTACCATTTTTCCCCTGCATTTTCAAACAATTACACCCGCCCCCTCCCCACCCCCAAAAAGCTTTTGCAATACGATAATTAGTGAACAACATGCTGACAATGCAAAGGCCCATGGTAAAACAAGTTTGATTGGTTGAAAAGCATTTCTTTTTCTTTGGAGGAAGGAATAAACATCAACCTAAATATTTTCAGTTTGTGCAGAAAAAAATAGTAAATAATGATCATATCATAATAATTCAACAAGTGATTTTCAACTTTGAAGACTTTAGAGTCTTTTCTTGTGACAGTAAGTGAATAAGAATTATGTTAAAAATGTCAAATCGTTTCGAAGGAGAGTTGGCAATCTGCCACAAATTCTGAGCTGACGTCATTAAATGTTGTGCAACTTCATTCCATTTGTGCAATATAATTTGAAATATTAAATTGGAAACCAGACTAACATAACAATTAAGTTAAAATTCTGCTTGTTTGTTTTGTTTCTACTCTTGGTTTAGTGTTCGTGTCTTTTTACTTTTCGGCCGATAACATTTGAAGAAAAAAATCGGTCGGAAGAAAACAAACACTCAAATAACCCATTATTTGTGTTTGTAATACCAATAACACCCAAACGCATTTTCTGGGCTAACTTAATATGTTTTTGTGGAAATTTAATTGTGCATAACAATATAAATAATAATAATGGAAATCAGAATCGAATTACATTTTGTTTCACATATTAATAAGCGGCGACTACATTTTACATCATGTTTCGTTAGAGAGGCGTATGTATAGCTCAATTTCTTTTCGATTATTGTTATTGTCATAATTGTTATCGCGGAAAATTAACTAAGGATTTAAGTCCTTAAAAACATGCACTTATCGGCGCAATAGACCTAAACTGCAATGAAAACGAACAATCACGTGACTTTTTTTTTTAAAAAAAATAAGACAAACAAGTTTAATCTGTGCCTGTATAAATGAACTTGCTTTGGTGTAGTTAGGCCTATTGTGAATGTAACTATATAATCAAACATGTACATTCTTTGTGGATACAAGCTCAGTCCAAATTCCGAGCTGTTTCGGTTGAATTCGGCAGAAACTTAACATTTCGGTTGGATAAAATGTGTAAAAACCTTTCTTGCTTTAATAATATTAAACTCGTGGCAATATTGTTATAGTTCGTGCAATATATTCTTGTGTCCTCCGAAAAAAGGCATGCAATATTATACAATTATGAATAAGCTATATAATGTTCATGGTCCAATTTCACGCATTTTCATGCTACATGCTTTCAGAGAATAGTGCAAATGCCATGCAAACCATTGCACGCCCTTGTTACTACCTGTATTCTCATCTGGGTAATATTGACCATTCAAGTGAGAGAAAAAACACCCTTTGAACCACCAGGCTCCTGTATGCATTTGTGCACAATTATTATGATTTGCTGCATCATTGTCACGATCCTTTGTTGTGAAGGGCTGTCCTCTGTGATCCTGATGAGCGCGAGCGGGTATCTGATAACCAAGAGAGTCCCCGGCAGTGCTGCTGGCATCGTATTGGCCAATATTCAGATTGTACTCACCCGGGGATATTTGGAAATCTGCGTACTTTGCCCATGCCGTGTTGTTCTCCCAGTCCTCTAAATCAACTCGTAGCTCCCATGTTCCACGTGAATCATCAGACGTCAGAGTCACCAAGTTGTCATTGCCCAACCAGAACTCACCGGACAGATCACCAAAGCCAGACTGGTACTCGGCCCAGTTACGGTAAAAGTCCACGCTGCCATCTTGTCGCCTCTGAAACACGATCCATCCTCCGCCGTCAGTTTCCATGTCACAGTAGACACGAAGACCGCAATTACCGAATCCCTCTGGGTAGATTGTGTAGATACCGCTTGAACGATAACCGGCATCTAAGAGCATCTTGCAACTTCTGTAGCGATTGAAGGAGCTATCAGTCAGTGAGTAGAGAGGTGTGTCCTCATCTGCATCAAAGTACACACTCCCTTGAGTTGCATTGAAGTCTTCGGGATGCTCTCGTCTTGTGGCAAGGTTCAACTCGCACATTTTATTGCAGTCGTTAAAGTTAAAAGACTTGCAACGTTCATCCATACTACATTCCCGTCCGCAGATGACACGAGATCGCACAAGTTTGGTCATATACCCAAACTCTTTTAGGGCGCGATTTTCAGCGGCGTAAAACGTGTGTTTCTCTGTGTAAGAAGTTTCAAATCCAGAGACAGACAAGGTAGCTCCCTGACATATTATGATGGATATTATGTGAAACAGTTCCAAACCATTAATGATCCGTTTCGCAATTGTTTCTATTACTTGAATTCCTCGTTGTGACCGAAGGACTTATCGTTGATCACAGTGGGTTTTTTTTTGGTAATGTGTGCCAGATAGTTGAAATCACGGGGAACAAAACGACTGCGAATTGAAGCCCCACTGCTTTTGATATCCGTCTTCTCTACACAACTGCTATATTGCTCTATTGGTACAGAGGCCTGGCGATGATGTGAATTGGTAGTTTACAGAAAGGAATGGGTTGACGATGTGTATCCCTCTGATTGGTTATCAAAGTTAGCACGTCATTCCATATCGGTGACGTCCAATAATGATCAGTCTTCCCGCCAGTCACAATTAAACCGTGTCCTTTAATTGGCGGAGCAGTCTTTACAATAATCGTATCGTTGGCATCAATAGCTCTCACGATAATGATTTAGCTCTAGAGATTCTATTGAAAGGGAGAGCGAGGATTATTGTTGTCGTGGGAACAATATTCTGTGTTGCTACGCTGTAACGCACTGAAGTCCAGTCTTCGTTTTGTATATTAATTGTCGTCATACACAATGCAACCCTGCAACAACAAAGGCACCGTCCATCAGAAGATTGAGTCTGTATCAAATTCACGCTCTGTGCTTCCATTCTCAAAATTGAATTTGAAGGCCAGTATTAAAGACGTCACTAATTTCAGCAGTCGTTTAGACAACAAGCAGCTACACAAAATGATAACACGAACTGTCACGATATCGATTTAGTTCCTGTAAAACTAATGAGATTGGGAGGGGACACATTGTTGTTCTCGATGCCTACTGCTGAAGGCCACAAGCTTATTGCTTTCCATTAAGAAAGATTGCCGAACCTGAATTGCTGGCCTGATATCAAGAAAAGAAAATGGAGTCACGAATATTTGGAGTGGCGTTCATAAAAATCCCAACTCTTAGGTGTGAATTAGTGAATATATAATAGTTCGTCCTTCGAAATTCGAAGATGACAGCCAACATCTTCATACTAGTTGGTGTTGTGTGTTCGCAGATGGCTAATAAGTCCAATTCTAGCCAGGAAGCTACGGTCCAACACTGGACACACTAGGTTGGGGTGGGGGTGGACACGAATAGTATTGCTTTCGAGGTACAACTTTCTAGTTACTATGCTCTATTTATGCTGAAGGCCAGATGCGTATTGCGTTCAAGTAGGAATGATTACCGAACCTAAATTGGCAGCATAAAATGTGAATATAATCGCTAATATTTCGAGATGTCTGCACAATTATCTTAACTCTTTTATGTACGTGTTTGATAAATTATTACTAAATTTGTTGGAAGTGTTGCGAAAAGTAAACTAATAAGAACTATCTTCAAAATATAGAAATAAATCACGGACATACTGATTGATTACTTTGGTTTGTTTGTTTGTTTCTCTACCTAGAAATGCCATAACCACTTTTCAATAATAATCTTATAATGTTCACACTGTCATTATCGACATGGCATAATCCATAACCCGTCGCGTTTTTTTCCATACTGGCGAACAGGTAGCACCACGCCTTTTCCATACCGGCGAACGAGTATACTCTTCACTGTGTTTAGTTAGAGCGCCACCAAGCGCCACGATAAGCCTGTGATAGGGAAAAATTCGTCCTTCCTCCTTCGCTCGTACGGGCACCGCCCTGAAAATATGACCCTGGGAAGGGCTGATCTCTTTGAGCGCTCATTGGATAGATTTTTTTGTGACCTGTGACGTAGCATGCAACGTATAATACCCATAATGCCATCCGTACTTCCTTCACAGTATTCTGTGAATCGGCATTATCGCACACTCAACACTTTACATTAATCAAAAAAATTAACCACAGTTTGGTTCTTGTCACTCAGTTTATTCAACGTCATTGGTCATTGGAACCATATTATTTATCGCATATACAAGCAAAGAGTAAAATGTGCATATTAATTATGATACATTGAAAATAGTTGGGTTTTTGGCCATCTTCCCTGTATCTAGATGCGTATATTTTAAGGTCAATATAATTTAATATCAATTAAGCACTCAAAACGTCAACAACACGCCCTAATAAACATGTGTGATGTTCAAATTTTGATTATTATTATTTATTATTTATAATTATATTACACAGACGGAATGTTGCACAAATGACGTCAGCTTAGAATTTGTAGTAGAGTCCTATCATTACTCTTGCAAAAAGGTTTCACAATTTTCAACTTATTTTTAATCCCGTTACTATCACAAGAAAAGGTATTTTAAACTTTCACAAAACCTTTGCAAGATAATACAAATTCCACTTATTGTTAATATTTTACTGCTAAAATGGCAAATATTTGAGTTGCTGGTTATCCGCCACAGAAAAAAGTTAAAATGCTCTTCGATCGATCTAACTAATTTTTTGGTCAGGGTAATTTGTTTGCAATAAAAGAAATACATTAGTAATAACAATATCAAAAATAATAATAGACCATTAAATTTTACTCTTTTTTTCACTTTTTACTTTTCATTTTACTTTTCTCATAATAATAATGGAAAAAAAAAATCGGTCCACAAAACAAAGAGTGAAAATAACGCTTATTTCAACACTCGACTGCAAATGTCCTCATTTTGTGGGACTACAAATATGCAATAAAAGTATGAATAATGAATATTGAAATTCTTGGTTTTTTTTGGTTTTTTGGTTTCATATTTACAATTGGCGAGAACATTTTCCACCAAGTTCTGCCATAGTCCGGCAGAAAAAAGAACAAATTGTGCACTTTTCCATAAAAGCGTGAAGCCTTGAACTGACCCTTATATTCATGAGAGAAAATTCACCCTTTTATGGGCGTGACAGCCATTTGTATAAAAGGGGGCGCTCATTATGCCCACTGTTAAATAAATTGTACCCATCTTTCCCCAAGGCATAAAACTTCACACAGAAACATATATATTTATGATATTTTTTTTCAGATGTGCAGCCATCGCAAAAGTACCCTTTTAGAGGCTTGGCCGCCGTTTTAAAAATGGGGAGGGCAACGAGTGTGCCCACATGTATTAAACGACTAAAACTTCCCACAGATGTTTATATTCATGAGAAAAAAAATTCCAGATGTGGAGCCATCCCTAACCCAGCCTTAATGAAATGTGGGCAGTGGCGTAGCCAAGGGGGAGGGCCGTGGGGGGCGACAGCCCCCCCATGAAACCTTGTCGCCCCCCCCCCCGTCGCCCCCTACTGAGATTTTGAGTTTCTAAAAAAATTATCATTGATCTACATGACACCCCCCCCCCCATGAAATGTTCCAGCCCCCAATTTTGTTTATTGTTATTGGCTCTGTCATAATGCCGAAAATACCCAGCATCGAGGAAAACGTTTATGGGAAAAACGTTTTAAATTTTTGCCTTTGGAAATGGCTATTGTTAACATCCTCAAAATGTAATAGCAGCGTGGAAACAAGTTGAGTCTAAATCTGTTGCTGCTTCGGTTGAAAACGGCTGAAATTTAGCATTCGCTATAGGATCAAGTGCGGCGCTACAGGGGGCTGTGGGGGATTTGATCCGAGTTTTGTCCTTGTTTTTAAATGTTAAACGCGATGTTTATTCCAATTTATTCAAGGCGCGAGGTGCTAATAGATAATCATGGTTGTACAATTATCCATGATTTACAAGTGCCAACTAAAAGTAAAAATTTACAATAAACAATATAACGTTCATGGTCCAACTTCACGCATTTTCATGCTACATGCTTTCATAGAAAAAAACGGTTTCCAAGAAAACCATTGAACGCCCGTGATACTACCTGCATTTGAATTTAAGAAGTATTGACCATTCAAGTGAGAATACCAACAATTATTGAACCACCAGGCTCCTACTAACTGTTGAGCACAATTATGCCTTGCTGCATCATTGTCACGATCCTTTGTTGTAAAGGGACGTCCTCTGTGAATCCACTTTGGATCTGTCTGATAACCAAGAGAGTCACCGGCAGTGCTGCTGGCATCGTATTGGCCAATATTCAGATTGTACTCACCCGGGGATATTTGGAAATCTGAGTACTTTGCCCATGCCGTGTAGCCCACCCAGTCCTCTAAATCAACGCGTAGCTCCCATGGTCCGCGTGAATCATCAGACGTTACAGTCACCAAGTTGTCGTTGCCCAACCAGAACTCACCGGACAGATCACCAAAGCCAGACTGATACTCGGCCCAGTTACGGTAGAAGTCCACACTGGCATCTTGTCGCCTCTGAAACACGATCCATCCCCCGCCGTCAGTTTCCATGTCACAGTAGACACGAAGACCGCCATTACCAAATCCCTCTGGGTAGATTGTGTAGATACCGCTTGAGTGATATCGGGCATGTAAGAGCATCTTGCAACTTCTGTAGCCATCCTCATCTGCATCAAAGTACACACTCCCTTGAGTTGTATTGAAGTTGTCGGGGTGCTCTCGTCTTGTGGCAAGGTTCAACTCGCACAGTTTACTGCAGTCGTTAAAGTTAAACGACTTGCAACGTTCATCCATGCTGCATTCCCGTCCACAGATGACACGAGATCTCACAATTGTGGTTGCATATGCAGACTCCGTTAGGGTGCGATTTTCAGCGGCATTAAACCTAATTTCCCGTGTATAAGATAAGGTTTTCAATCCAGCGACAGTTAGGGTAACTCCCTGGCAAATGATATATATTACGTGTACCATTTCAAAACTAAAGATCTGTTTTGCCATTGTTTCCGTTTACAAAGGACTCAACGATGATATAAACTATTCTTGTAATGCTCGCCAGGTAGTTTAAATCGATGAGAACACGTCGAACGATTTGTCGCGTCTGATTGTTGTATGACCGAAAATACCACCCATAATACTGCTTGAGTACTAAAGCTGTCTTCTGAAAACCAATTCTTGATAGCTCAATAGAGATCTGGCGGTGTTGGAATTTGGAATAGCTTGGCAAGGAATGGGTTCTGGTAGGTGATGTCTGATTGGGTATCGAAGTTAATACGTCATTCCGCACATAAGGCTTGTAATTCGTCAGTGTTTCTCCCAGTAACGAACCGTAGCCTTTGATTGGCTTCATGATTTATGTAGAGGTGTATCCGAGTTGTAACAGATAGGCCGAGTCCTAATTGCTTTTCTAAGTACTTGTCTTATTTCTTTGTTTGCATGCGTAATAACAGCGGCTGAAGGCTCCCATGGTCACGTTAGGTATTGCCGGCCAAAGCCCATTAATTCAGTCGACGCCACGGATCCGGCCATGGATATACGGTAGCCTTGGTGTCACTGGATGCCATACATGATATATCGCTGCAATTAAGAGGTACCAACTAAATGGCTAAAAGACGTTCGGTCAGTTTTACGCTCGTTGATTTTGATCTCGACACTGAAAATAAATTTCACCGACCAGTCCGGTATTGAAGGTCTCTTAATTTCAGCAGCGGTCTTAATGGGCAGTCTCATCGATCATGGGATAGCGAGACAAATTTACAAAGTGATCGTAGTCATGTCGTTGTTTTCGAAGGAAAAGCTCCTGGTTAATATGCTCATACTCCTTATGTCGAAGGTAACAAGCTCACTGATAGCTTGGCATTAAGACATTAAAATGTAGTCCCAAAATATTTGTAGTTGCATCACAAACATCTGAGATAATGATTGAACTGTTGGATACAATGCCAAAAAAATCTGATCGCTGTGCTTTAACTAAAACACATTTGCACCTAGCTTCGAGCGATGCTATAATGTCCGCACGCCAGCTTGCCCTTTCATAACTGCAAATTTCAATATGTCATTATAGTCGTAAATCTATCCACAGCTCTAGCTGTATTGTGTAAACTAAGAGCGCCACCAAGCGCCGTAATATGCCCAGTAAATCTCCACCACTCTCCCAATCTACTTCATCTTCCAAAATACTGTCCAGTTTTTAACGATCAGGTTCTTGTGTTGCGCATGCGGGGATCAAGTCTGCATTTTGAACACACTGATAGTACTTATTGATTCGAGAGAGAAGCTAACTGCACAACCAATACGGGCGATTCACAATAGTGCGCCTCCAAGAGTTTGCAACGCGTTGGCCAATCACAGTGCGCGAAATCAGTCGACTGATGTTGCGCATTGTAATTGGCCAACTCGTTGCAAACTCTTGGAGGCGCACTATTGTGAAACGACCGTATATTATTGCATGTCATCACCAGCGTCCTTGTCAAGTTTAACATCAGTATCAATCCATATCATTTTGAAGATAGTGTTCAGACATTTTTGTCAGTGGACTATGCAAATAAAGGAGAAATAATATATGAGCTCCCATCTTGGATGCCTTCTTTGTTTAAATGATGTTCGTTTCTTGCCATATTTCTTTTCTTTTGAATAATGGGAAATACATTTCAATTAAAACTAGTAAAACTATCTGTAAATGAAACCAAATTTCAAATAAGATTAATTTTGATATGAAAACACACACCATGGTTCTTAATTTGTTCGAAAGTGTACAATATCAGATTCAGTTTACTACTTGGGAGCCTGATATAAATAATAATTCGAAACGCCTTCGTGATACTGTGACCGAATAGGTCTGTGCTGTGTGTAAAGAGGGTAGGCAAAGAATAATATTTGATGAACTTCAACACTGTCAAAGTGTATTCATCTTCAGGGATGATTCATCAAGTTTCCACTGCTACATTATTTGCATCTCTGCAGTCACGGATGTCCGAACACAACTTCCATTCATTATAGGTTTTTGTTGGGGCTGTGACTTTTGTCGAGGATGTATGTTACTGTTAGGTCTTCAAAATCATGCACAATTAATTCGATGCTTTCGGCAACAAATCCGAATCCAGGAAAACTGATCCACCTTCCGTGGTCCAATATTGAGGTTGGGTTTGAAGGTTGCGGATGGAAAGATACACAGATAAACTGTCAATAACACTTACATGCTCGCACACTCAACACTTTTAATCAATCGAGAAAAATCAATCACAGATTGGTTCTCGTCACTCAGTTTATTCAACGTCATTGGTCATTTGAACATCTTTTTGTATCGCAATATACATGCAAAAAGCAAAATACACAGAGTTTGAATATATAGTTATTAAAATTATATGAAAGTTATTCGGGTTTTGCAATCACTTAATGTATTCCGACGACCGACGTGTCTGTCAATTCAGGATTCAAAGGATAACAACACGCCCTTAATCATGCGTATTTTGTTCAAGTTTTTATCAATTTGATAATTATAATTAACCCAAAATATTCTCTCCAAAATAGCTTTTCGCAAAGCCAAGTAGCAACCCACGGCAGCCGGGTATCGTGAAAAAAAATGATTATTCGGACCGTTCGTGCGTCTGGGCCATACCGGTACCTCGAGAGTACAGAAATGAAAGCGATTGGGGCGTGACCTAATATGCAAATATATACAAATTAGACGCAGACGCATTAGTGTTTGCAAAGCCGATCTTCAAATGCAAAGTTGTAACTTTCGAGGTGCATGAATACAATGTTAGCAGCTCAAGCCCGTAAAAGCAATATTTTAATTGTGACGATCCTCGCAAATACTTATTATTTAACAAGTAAAATTCAAAGATTTTTGTTTTTGTGGATTTTCAATTATTTTCCTAGAATAAACCTAGTCCAAAGTTTCCACTCTGTCGTCATTTGTGTAACATTCCATGTTTGGAATATTGAATAACATTAACTTGAATGTAAAGGTATTGTTTATTGTATTTGACTTATTTTTTGTATTTCTATTTATATTTTTTTTTTTTTTTTTACTATTTTTCAATATTAACTACAGAATAAAAAGTGCTCGGAATAAAAGAAAGAGTTAAAATATCCCGTAATCTTTATCAATAGGAATACAAACAAACGCAGTTTCTATAAGCTGACGTCATACTTTTGTGGAATAATAATTGAGCATTAAAACTATACATGTTATCCGAACAACCTACCAGTATTTTTTTTTTCATATTTTTTTAACATATTTACAATTCGCGAAACCACCATGGTCTATTTACAGAGACTCATTTTTTTTTTTTACTATTTCTGGCTCTGTCGTACAGGGTGATTGAAAAAAAGCGGAACCAAACCCCCAAAATTATATTTGATATTTAAAAAAAATATGTAGCACCAAAAATTATAATGACTGGGAAGCCAATTTTATAAGGTACTTTTAGATAAACAAAATTACTGAAATTGCTCAATCCGTTCAAAGAATATCAACATTTAAACACAATGACCCTAAAACCTGTCTCGTCCAAAAATGCGATTTCAAGAATCGTCGTCACAATTGTCTTCAAACATCACCAGCGATAAAACGTCAGTTTAAAAATTAAAAATATTCAACAAAGTCCTTTTGAAGGCCCGCCTTTAAAAAAGTGGATTTTATAAATCATATTGTTTGCCTAACCAGGGTTGTTAATAAAGATATTGTGTACTACAGTTGTTGACAGTTATTGAAACAAGTATTCTGTGTCATTTTCTTTGTTGCTCCAAACAGTCAAAACACACAATAAATTGGTTTTTTTTTGGAGGAGAGATGTTTTAGGGTCATTGCGTTTAAAAGGTGATATTCTTTGAACGGATCGAGCAATTTCAGTAATTTTTCATCTAAACGTAGCTTTTGAATTTGGCTGTCCAGTAATTATTATTATTTTTTGGTGCTACATGTTTTATTCAATATGAAATATATTTTTGGGGTTTTGGGTTCCGCTTTTTTTGACCCACCCTGTATATTCAAAAATTCAACAGGATTTCAGTCTTATACATAAGGGCCTACGTTTTGTAGGGCAAACCTCCGATGGAAAACGAACAATCATTATCGGGCGTGTTTCAAAGCAAGGCAAACAGCAAGTTTATACACGTGAAGGACGATATGAGAGATATATATCTAGGGGGATGTGTTAGGTAACAATAGATAATAGATTTTAAAATTGAATTGATCAGTTGTTAGCATTCCAAATGTTATTCAATTTCTAATGCGACAATGAACAAACAAATAGTCTCACACAAAAGAAATTAAATTTAAATTCAGCTTCTGCATTGGGAAATGTGGACAATTAGACTTGATTTAAGTCAGACTTACATCTATATTCATAACACACATTGTCGTTACAATCCAACTCTGCATTACATCATCATTGCCGTGCATAAAGTGCAACAAGTGCAATGTTAACACGCGTCCCACACTCCCACTTCAGTTTGGGTACGTTTACGCTTATCAAACCGACCAAGTGCAACACCCGACTCTTGCCAAGTCTAATAACTTAAGCTTGAGTGTGAAACACGCGCAACAAAAAAAAAACTCTCTTTGTAAAGATTCATTGCCTCTATAAATGCATTAAATCTATATACTCTTTCAATGACATTTATATTCTTTGCATTATTTAGAAAAGCATCTTAAAAATTGAAAATTCGAGTGATACTAACTTTAATATTAACAATAGAAATTGTAGGGCACAAGAATTGTATACCCGTTTGCTCAGCTGGCAAACGAGATTACAATTCTTTTGCCCTGCAATTTCTATTGTCGGCTAAGAATACAGAGAGATCAGGAAACGTTCATGAGTAAATTTTACGCATTTCCACGCTGCACATTTTCATTTTGAATATTATGCTCTCAAACGACGAGTCTACAACGGCTTGAAGGCGCAAGATGTAGCGATAATTATGGTTGTACAATCATCCTTGATTTACAATTGACAACCAAGACATATATTTCAAAGGTGATTATTATTCAGTATATAACTAAATTCATGGCCCAATTTCACGCATTTTCATGCTACATGCTTTCAGAGAATAATAACGCGATCCCCATGCATACCATTGCACGCCCATTCTACTATTTGCATTCTCATCTTGATAATATTGACCATTCAAGTGAGAATACCAACAGCTATTAAACCACCAGGCTCCTGTGAACTTGTGTGCACAGTTATGATTTGCCGAATCTCTGTCACGATCCTTTGTTGTGAAGGGACGTCCTCCGTGAAATCTAAAGTGATCCGGCCCTTCATGCCCAAGAAGAGAGTCACCGGCAGTGCTGCTTGCATCGTATTGTCCAATATTCAGATTGTACTCACGCGGGGATATTTGAAAACCTGCGTACTTCGCCCATGCCGTGTTGCCCTCCCAGTCCTCTAAATCAACTCGTAGCTCCCATGTTCTACGTGAATCATCAAACGTCAGAGTCACCAAGTTGTCGTTGCCCAACCAGAACTCACCGGACAGATCGCCAAAGCCAGACTGGTACTCGGCCCAGTTACGGTAGAAGTCCACGCTGCCATCTTGTCGCCTCTGAAACACGATCCATCCCCCGCCGTCAGTTTCCATGTCACAGTAGATACGAAGACCGCCATTACCGAATCCCTCTGGGTAGATTGTGTAGAGACCGCTTGACCGATAACCGGCATCTAAGAGCATCTTGCAACTTGTGTTGCGATCCAAGGAGCTTTCAGCCAGGCGAGCCAGTGAGTAGAGAGGCGTGTCCTCATTTGCATCAAAGTACACACTCCCTTGAGTTGCATTGAAGTCTTCGGGATGCTCTCGTCTTGTGACGAGGTTCAACTCGCACGTATTGTTGCAGTTGTTAAAGTTAAAAGACTTGCAACGTTCATCCATGCTGCATTCCCGTCCGCAGATGACACGAGAACGAACAGTTTTTATTGCAAACCCAAACTCTTTTAGGGCGCGATTTTCAGCAGCATAAAACGTGTGTTTCCCACTGTACGAAGTTTCAAATCCAGAGATGGACAAGCCAGCTCCTTGGCAAATGATGGATATTGTGTGAAACAGTTTAAAACCAGTGAAGATCCGTTTGGCCATTTTTCCATAACTTGAAGTCCTCGCTGTGACTGAAGTATTTAACGTCGATCTAAGATTTTTTTGTTGTTATGTGTGCCGGATAGTTGAAATCACGACAAAGAATTCAAGCCACACTGCTTTCGGTAACTGTCTGCTTTACACAACTGCTAGATTGCTGCATTGATACAGAAGCCTGATGATGATGGAATTTGGTAGTTTACAGAAAGGAATGGGTCGAGGGAGACGATGTGGATCTCTCTGATTGGTTATCAGATGAATACGTCATTCCACATCAGTGGCTTAATTTTATTGGTCAGTTTTCCCGCCAGTCACAAACCGTAGCCTTTGATTGGCCGGTGTCTTACCGTAAGCTTATTACCTCATCGGTCTGTAAGATTTGGATTAACGTACGTTGTGAAGCGCTGAAGTCCTGTCTTCGTTTTAATTATTTGTCGTCATACAAACTAAGAACTGTAATAACAAAGGCACCGACAATCAGGAGATTGCGTACGTTCATATCAATTTCACGCTCTGTGATTCCATTTTCAAAATTGAACTAGAAGGTTAGTGATAAAGACGTCAATAATTTAAGCAGTCGTTTTGACAATAAGCAGCTTCACAAAATGACAACACGAACTGTCACGATATCGATTTAGTTCCAGTGAATCTAATGAGATTGGGATGCATGCATTGTTGTTCTCGAGAGGCAATTCTCTGGTTGCCATGCCTACTTCTTATACCGAAGGCATCAAGCTGATTGCTTATTGCTTTTAATTGAGAGTGATTGACAAACATGAATTGACAGTCTGATCGTATTCGGGCTTGCGATCACAAACAATGTCTACACCATTACAGTTGTCGTAAGTTTATCCACTGCTCTGTATTGTGTTCACTTAGAGCGCCACCAAGTGTCGTTATATGCCCAGTAACTCTCGACATCAGTCTCTCCCCAACTCCTTCATGTCCTTCCAAATACTGTCCAGTATTTAACGATCAGGTTCTTGCGTAGCGCGTGCGAGGATCAAGTCACACATGGATAGTGCTTATTGATTCGAGAGAGAAGCTAAATGCACAACCCATCATTCATTGTAGATCGCCAACATTATCGTCAGCACCCAGGGGTTACAATACACCCTCAATTATGCTTAATGTACAATTTTTGATTAATTGACATCATAATTACCACCTACAACCACATTTTGTTTAAAAATTATAAGTCCTCAGCAATGAATCACTTTTCTAAACACTTTCTTGCTATTACTATGTAAACATATTTAGAGTTTACTGAAAAATGTTGTTTAGCAATTGAACATATTGATGTTTAGGAATTGCACACTTCAAGTTTAGCTTTTTCTAAATATGTTTAGGCCTACAGAGTTATTGCAAGATTGTGTTGAATTGCTAAACGCAGTTGGTCAGTGGTTATTCCAATTTATTGAAGGCGCACAAGAGATGGTATAAAAAGATAACCACGGTTGTACAGTTATCTTCGATTTGCAAGTGTCCACTGCAACACATGTTTTAAAAATTAATAATTACAATCTACAATAAAATGTTCATGGTCTTATTTCACGAACTTTTAATCTACATGTTTTCAGAAAATAATAACGCGATTTCCATGAACGCCGGTGCGTATCCATTCCACTGCCTGTATTCTCATCAAGGTAAGGCCAAAAAAAAATAGTCGGTCTCTGGTCAGCGCGCGCGTCGATTTTAATCGTGCGCGTCAACCTTTTTTCCCCTTCAAATTTACCACGGAAGCTACAACAGCGCCCTCTATGCCGCACCTCCTCAAATTTTTGTACAAGGAGCACCAAGGAAAGGGGAAATTGCGTCAAGGCAAATAATGGAGGACACCAAGGCAAATTCTGGAGGACACCAATGTATATGAGGACACAAAAAAGCTAAATAGTACCCACCTCGTCTGTACAATTCAAACTTGAAAAAAAAGCAAAAACAAAAACTAAACAAAAAGCGTCGCCGCATCACTTCCGGAACTTCGGTCTGACCAAATTCGGTCTGACCAGAGACCGACTATTTTTTTTTTGGGGGGGGGGGGCCCTAATATCGACCATTCAAGTGAGAAGCAAAATACCCGTAAAAACAACCAGGCGCCTGAGTTGGAATGTGCACAATGAAACCCCTAAAAAGGCAAATCAGCTTCAGAAATGGATTACCGATGATTAAGGCAAATGTAAAAAAAAATTGGAAAAGGACAGTATGCAAATATTTTTCCTTTGCCAGAAGAGCCGGTTTTGCATTATACCACTGAAACAAAATGGGTAAGGAGAGTTGAATACTGCATGTTTTTATAATGTTCCGCTCCATGCAAGCAGGATAAAAAAGAGCCACCCTCATTGTCTGCATAGGCGTTTGGGTGATATTAAGCATTAAAATGAGGCACTGCACAAACACAAGAAAGGTTATTCACTTTTCTAAAAAAAATTTTGCCATCGCTTTGCGAACACGTATCAATACTAAACATGTTTATTGATGAAAAGTGTAGAGCAATTGCGCATTGTAATGCACACGTAATGTTTTACATGTTTAAATATCATAGCAAGATTTTGTTTAATTGCTAAACGCAGTTTTGCCAGTGCATTAAATGTGCGAGATGGGAATAAATAATCATGGTTGCACAATTAACCTTCATTTACAAATATTACAAACAAATATTTCAAAATTAATATTATACAATAAACAATAGAACGTTCATGGTCCAAATTCGCGCATTTTCATGCAACATGCTTTCAGAGAATAAAACGGTTTAAATGATACCCACTGCACGCCCATGTTACTACCTCTATTCTGATTTGGGTAATATGGACCATTCAAGTGAGAATACCAACAATCATTAAACCACCAGGCTCCTGTGTACCGTTGTGCACAATTTTTATGACCTGCTCGATCATTGTCACGATCCCTTGTTGTGAAAGGACGTCCTCTGTGATCCCAATAGGAAAATGCGTGATGCTCAAGAGCAAGAGAGTCACCGGCAGTGCTGCTGGCATCGTATTGGCCAATATTCAGATTGTACTCACCCGGGGATATTTGGAAATCTGCGTACTTTGCCCATGCCGTGTTGTTCTCCCAGTCCTCTAAATCAACTCGAAGCTCACATGTTCCAAGTGAGTCTTCCGAAGTCAGATTCACCAAGTTGTCGTTGCCCAACCAGAACTCACCGAACAGATCGCCAAAGCCAAACTGGTACTCGGTCCAGTTACGGTAGAAGTCCACGCTGCCATCTTGTCGCCTCTGAAACACGATCCATCCTCCGCCGTCAGTTTCCATGTCACAGTAGACACGAAGACCGCCATTGCCAAATCCCTCTGGGTAGATTGTGTAGATACCGCTTGAACGATAACCGGCATCAAAGAGCATCTTGCAACTATTGTAGCGATTCATGGAGCTATCAGTCAGTGAGTAGAGAGGTGTGTCCTCATCTGCATCAAAGTAAACACTCCCTTGGGTTGCATTGAAATCTTGGGGATGTTGTTGTCTTGAGGCAATGTTCAACTCGCATATCTTATTGGAGTTCATGAAGTTAAAAGACTTGCAACGTTCATCCATGCTGCAATCCCGTCCGCAGATGACACGAGATCGCACAGGTTTAGTTGCATAAACAAAGTCTAGTAGGGCGCGATTTTCAGCGGCATAAAATATACGTTTCCCGATATAAGATGATGTTTCTAATCCAGAGGCAGACAAGGTAGCTACCAGGCATATGGTGCAGGCTACAGGAAATAGTTCCTTACCAGTAAACATCCGTTTTGCCATTTTGTTTAGTTAGTTTATGTCCCCGTTAGGACCGAGCGATTATTAACATCTATTTCTGTGTTTCTTGTAATGTGTGCTGGATAGTTCAAATCGCGGGGAACGAAATCCAGCGATTCGTTGTGTCTGATTGAACTATGAGAAGTGATTGCTGCACAACCAAAATGTACACGCCACACTGCTTACCAGAGCAAACTCCATAAATCACTTCTAGATAGCTCTACTGATATAGAGGTCTGGCGGGGACGGAATTTGGTGTCGCTTGGCAAGGAATGGGCTGAGATGTGTAATTCTCTGATTGGTTGTCCTGGTATGATACGTCATTCCACACCAGCGGCTAATACATTGTGATTGGTCAGTGTGTCCTCCAGTGACAAGCCCTAGCCATGTAGGCGAGTAACATCATCGGTTGTAGTAATAACGCCGCGTCTGAATGACTTGGCTACTACTTCATTTACAGTCGCATATGCGTTTAAGCAGCTGAAGGCACTTTTTGTGTTGTTTACCGCAGACCGTAGGCGAAATTGGAATCAGGCTATAATTAAACGTTACAAGCCCGTCTTTGTGTTTTGCTGGCTGCTGTCTAACAAAATAGAACGCTGTAATTAAAGATATCAACTATATCAGGCCCTTGCGCTCATATCAATTTCACGCTCTTTGATTCTATTCTCAAAATCAAACAGAAAGCAATTAGAGATTTCAACGACAAGTAGGGCAAAGAAGGCGTCCTTCATTTTAGGAGGAGTTGGAAAATATGCAGTCATACCAATGATAACAACACTCTACGCTCCCAATAGTAATTGAGCTCCAGCAATTCTAATGAAAGCAATTAGGGACTCCAACGACCATTTGGGCAAAATAGGCGTCCTTCATTTCAGCAGGAGTCTGACAACAATAAATCTTACTAATAATAACAACGCGAACTCTCTCGATAGTGGTTCAGCTTCTGTAATTTGAATGAAATGGTAGCGTGCGCATTTCGTTGTTTCGAGACAATTTGAACACAAGGTTAGATGAAAGGAAGAATCATTGAATGTATCTTGATGACTGGAAACCCTTTGAAGCCCTAAAACTATGACTGGTGTTGAACAGCGCCCCAAGCGTCAATGAAGTCCAATTCCCCCTCCCCTTGATTTTCCCAAGGCCGGAGGCTTTAATATGTCGCCCCTCACCTCCCCCAAAACAGTTATTTCCCAGTCCTTTTAATGTTCGAGTCTGGTGCTGCCGTTGTAGGCGGTGTATTTTTGTTCAGTAGTTGCATAACATCTAAGTTCTTCAGTCTCCACGACGCATACGCAGCACAGCAGTTCACAAGAGACACTCGCCGTAGAATGTGTGGTCCACATTGGCTACCAATTCGATGAATCTGTCGACACTAGGAGAATATATATTTCAGGATCTCATGATGGGTGTTTTACGCCTACAAAAATCCACCTTGCAGAAAGCTCTTCTAACCTGTTGGAGTAGGGCCGCCTTTGTAGGTGGAAGTGACTGCATGGTACGCTTTTTCGTAAACAGTTGATCATTTTGTGCCTCATCTCTATTTACCAAGTTGCTTCTGTCGTGTATAATAATTGTAAACCTCTCAATAGCAGCAATTTCTGAATTGAGTATAAACTGGGGTACCTCAGTTAGGCTTTGAAAGGCAGCTTTTACATCTTCAAACACATTACATGTGTCTCATGCCTTTTTTTCCAGACGGACTGAAATATCATCAGTGCTACTGATTTTTTTCTTCTGGATTTGGTAGGGGTAAAATACTCATAACAGATCTATGCCATTTGCTAGTGAAGAGTGGTGGGTGGGAGATGAACAGATTCATCGGATTGGAAGCCATGGTGAACCACCATTTCGTGGGGCGAGTGCTTCTTGTCGTGAACTGATCTGCTCCGTTCAAGCAAGATAAAAGCGAGCCACGCAGCTCCCTGTCTGCATCAAAGGCGTTTGGGTGATATTAAGCATTAACATGAGGCGTTGCACACAACAAACGGTAATTACACTTTCCTGCCATTGCTTTGCAAACACATACCAATACTAAACATGTTTTTTGATGAACAGTGTAAAGCGTCCTGAGACGTAATGACGTAATGACTTTGTTCATACATGCGCTTTCCAATGGGAGCGATATCGGGACGCCAGATAAAGTGGGGTCCGTCTACTACATAAGAAAGTGTACATGTAAACAAAGTGTGACGTCATTACGTCTTAGGTCTATTGCGCATTGTTTTTAGGAATTGAACACATAATTTCTAAATTTTCTAAAATTTCTAAGATTTGGTTTTAATGCTAAACGCAGTTTTCCCAATGCATGTTTATATGTGCGAGATGGTAATAACTTAATCGTCGTTGTACAATTATCTTTCATTTACAAAGATTACAAGCAAATATTTCAAAATTAATGTTATACAATAAACAATAGAACGTTCATGGTCCAATTTCCCGCATTTTCATGCTACATGCTTTCAGAGAATAAAACGGTTTCCATAAAAACCACTGCACGCCCTTGTTACTACCTCTATTCTGATTTGGGTAATATGGACCATTCAAGTGAGAATACCAACAATCATTAAACCACCAGGCTCCTGTGTACTGTTGTGCACAATTTTTATGACCTGCTAGATCATTGTCACGATCCCTTGTTGTGAAAGGACTTCCTCTGTGATCCCAATAGGAAAATGTGTGATGCTCAAGAGCAAGAGAGTCACCGGCCGTGCTGCTGGCATCGTATTGGCCAATATTCAGATTGTACTCACCCGGGGATATTTGGAAATCTGGGTACTTTGCGCATGCCGTGTTGTTCTCCCAGTCCTCTAAATCAACTCGTAGCTCCCATGTTCCACGTGAATCATCAGACGTCAGAGTCACCAAGTTGTCATTGCCCAACCAGAACTCACCAGACAGATCGCCAAAGCCAGACTGGTACTCGGTCCAGTTACGGTAAAAGTCCACGCTGCCATCTTGTCGCCTCTGAAACACGATCCATCCCCCGCCGTCAGTTGCCATGTCACAGTATACACGAAGACCGCCATTACCGAATCCCTCTGGGTAGATTGTGTAGATACCGCTTGAACAATAACCGGCATCTAAGAGCATCTTGCAACTTCTGTAGCGACTCAAGGAGCTATCAGTCAGTGAGTATAGAGGTGTGTTCTCATCTGTATCAAAGTACACACTCCCTTGAGTTGCATTGAAGTCTTCGGGATGCTCTCGTCTTGTGGCAAGGTTCAACTCGCACATTTTACTGCAGTCGTTAAAGTTAAAAGACTTGCAACGCTCATCCATGCTGCAATCCCGTCCGCAGACGACGCGAGATCGCACAATATAGGTTGAAATGAAAGCAAATTGTTTTAGGGCGCGATTTTCAGCGGCATAAAACGTATGTTTCTCTGTATACGTAGTTTTAAATGCAGAGACAGACGTAGCTCCCTGGCATATGATATAAATTATTTGAAATATTTCAAAAACAGTATAGACCCGTTTCGCCATTGTTTCCATTACTTGAAGTCCTCGCTTTGAACGAATTATTTATCGTCGATCTCCTTTTTTCTTGTTACGTTTGCCAGATATACTTGAAATAACGGTGAAAAAAAGACAACCAAGAATTCAAGCCACACTGCTTTCGGTACCTGTCTTCTTCGTACAAATGCTAGACTGCTGTATGGCGAAGATGGGATTTGGTAGTTTACAGAAAGGAATGGGTTGAGGTACACGATGTGTATCTCTCTGATTGGTTATGTAGGTTCATACGTCATTCCACATCAGTGGCTTGTAATTGGTAAGTTTTCCCGCAAGTCACAAACCGTAGCCTTTGATTGGCGGATGGTTTACCGTAAGCTTATTACCTCAACGATTTGTAATGTATGGATTAACGTACGTTGTGAAGCACTGATGATTATTTTATATTTATTGTCGTCATACAAACTCGACGGTATAACAAAGGCACTGACAATAAGGAGATAGCGTGCGTGCATATCAATTTCACGCTCTTTGATTCCATTCTCAAAATTGAAAGAGAGCGTCAGTTTTAGAGACGTCCACAATTTCAAGCAGGAGTCGTTACAATTAATGGCTTTGGAAATGATAACACGAACTGCTACGATATCGATTTAGTTCCAGTAGATCTAATGAGACTGGGATGCCGGCATTGTTAATCTGGACGGGCAATTCTCTTGTTACCATGCCTACTCCTTATACTGAAGGCCACAAACTCATTGCTTCCAATTAGAACGATCGACAAACCAGCAGTAACGGCTTGAAAATAGAGTCTCGATTATTCTGAGTACAGTTTACAAAATGCTTCCTCATCTAGAATAACCGCCATCATTAAAAAGAAATTCATCAAGTCCGTATGAATGAACACTGCGTTTCGTAAGTCACTGTTTTGAAACCTAAATTCTTGCAAAGCATGTTTCAACTCACCATCATATTTACACTGTTGTCCACAATATGTCAGAGCCGTGTGTAGAGAATCTACATTGTGTTTAGTTGGAGCGCCACCAAGCGACACGATAAGCCTATGATCGATCATGGAGTAGGGTTCGCTCGTCCACCGTCATATCCAAGGGCGCTGGTGACCTCCCATTTGTCTGAGCTCTCGAAAGCGCATGGAATGAACGGGAATTGCTAACATTAAGAGACCAATCAATAATGATTTGCGAAACTGATTTTGTGAAATAGATTACTGTTCACCATCATCCTTAGATAGGGCGGTGGGGACCAGCGAAGGGATATAGAGCAGTCATAGCTCTGCCCTAGGCATTGGCCTCCTCGGATGGGAAAATATCATGCAAGTGTGCTGCCCTCTATAGTTTAGATATCTATGTTTACCCTCGCCACGCATTTACATCTGTTGTACGTACGTTTGTCAGGACTCCATCGTTATTGCAGATTCCTATACTTATAATGGTATGGGGCCAAATGTCTGGGTAGTGTTCAACATGAGGAAGCCTATTGCGTTATTTGGGTGTTGGTGGGGCATGACCTTTTTTGAAGATCATTATAGATCCCAGAAATTCTTGAACAGATCTTTTTCGACGCGGTAATCTATCAGAATCAAGGAATTTAATTAACGGGTTTCTCATTGAGATTTAGGTTGAAGTTGACGCCCTGAAGACGAGGTTGCGAATGAAAGGGTAGCCATTCATACGTGTTTTGAAGCATAAACACCAGTCGCCTTGCTTACGGTGCCGTATCATAAGTCAGACGCCTCATAGGTCCGACCCCTCATAAGTCCCTTATGAGGCTTTGGACTTATGAGGCATGATAAATTCCGCCTCATAGGTCAGATGCTTCATAAGTCCAACGCCTCATAAGTCCGACAATGGACAAACGCTTTTTCGCACTTATGAGGCGTCGGAGCTATGAGGCGTCGGACTTAATGCGGCGTCGGACCTATGAATGTTATGCCTCATAAGTCCGACGCGTCATACGTCCGAAATTTCGGACTTAAAAGGCGTCGGACCTATAAGGCGTCGGACTTATGAGCGGACCCTTGCTAACATCTGCCAATCACACTGATAGAATCACCAACTCACACACTCAACACTTTAAATCAATCGAGAAGAAAGCAATCATGGATTGGTTCTCATCACTAGCACTCAGTTTATTCGACGTCATCGGTCATTGGAACCATTTGATTTGTATCGCAATATACAAGCAAAATGTAAAATGTGCATATTAATTTAAATACACTGAACATAGGGATTTTTTTCCCTCTTCCTGTATCTCGATGTGTGTTTTATGGTCAATTTATTTTACTTTCAATTAAGCACTCAAAGTTTTAGTGATAATATTATAATATAAGTGATTAGTATTCGTCACTTGCATTAAAAAAAAATGCACCCCCAAAAAAGGCAAACTTTTTGCAATACGATCATCAGTCAACAATAGTTGACAAAACAAAGCCCTACGTGACCAAAAAAAAGTTGATCGTTCAAAGAGCACTTTTTGTTTAGTTTCTATATGGCAGAAAGAATACATGTTACTAAACACCTAAACAGTTTGAATTGGTGCAGAACAAAAAACACCTTAAGACTTCAGACTAATTTCTAATTTTAAATTCAAAGTTGTTTTGGTTTTGTGCATTTTTATTATTTTCTTGCGAGAGTACCTGGAGTTACAATATGTTGAAATATTTAAAAGCTTTTTGCAAGAGGAATAACACTCAACCGCAGTTTCTAAACTGGAACTATAATTGTGCAAACAAAATGTATAAATAAGATTGAAAGCCGAAACACCTAACATGTATTTGATTTTTATATAGCTGCTGCGGTTGATTTTGGCTAAAAAAATTAACATTTCGGTTGTATCTAAATGCGTACATGCCATTCTGTTACTTTTCTTTGAAGTGAGATGCAAGACAAAAATATTGGTATTCTTTTTATATTACTAAGAAGTTAACAAAATCTAAAAAAAGATCAAACATTACTTTAATGTGCCAACAGAGCCTTTTAAAAAGTCAAACGAGTTCATGAGTCAGTTTTACGTATTACACATTGACAATTTTACGGAATAATCCGTGCCAGAAAATTAAAAACGACTCGGGATCATTGTCTTTACGTCATGCTTATTTGAGTATATTTGGCATTTGAATTAGACAGTGCACACACAGGAAAAAGGGCCCTTTCATTTTAAAACTATTTTGGAAAAGATGAATAGATTTAGTGGAAAAGCGATAAATAGTAAAGGTCAGTAATGAAAAAAGATTAACATATTGCAAAATCATTTATGATTAACTACCGTCAAAATCTTAAACATAATACGCAAAACAATATTTATGGTCCAATTTCACGCATTTTCATGCTACATACTTTCAGAGAATAACGCGATTTCCATGAAATCCATTGCACGCCCCTGTAACTACCTGCATTCTCATCTGGATAATATCGACCATTCAAATGAGAATACCAACAGCTATTAAACCACCAGGCTCCTGTGTACTTCTGTGCACAATTATGGTCTGCTGCATCATTGTCACGATCCTTTGTTGAAAAGGCACGCCCTCTGTGATGATACGCAGATTGACTTGTTTTATACCCAAGAGAGTCACCGGCAGTGCTGCTGGCATCGTATTGGCCAATATTCAGATTGTACTCACCCGGGGATATTTGGAAATCTGAGTACTTTGCCCATGCCTTTTTGTTCTCCCAGTCCTCTAAATCAACTCGTAGCTCCCATGTTCCGTTTGAATCATCAGACGTCAGAGTCACCAAGTTGTCGTTGCCCAACCAGAACTCACCGGACAGATCACCAAAGCCAAACTGGTACTCGGCCCAGTTACGGTAGAAGTCCATGCTGCCATCTTGTCGTCTCTGCAATACGATCCATCCTCCGCCGTCAGTTTCCATGTCACAGTAGACACGAAGACAGCCGAGACCGAATCCCTCTGGGTAGATTGTGTAGATACCGCTTGAACGATGACCGGCATCTAAGAGCATCTTGCAACTTCTGTAGCGATTGAAGGAGCTATCAGTCAGTGAGTAGAGAGGTGTGTCCTCATCTGCATCAAAGTACACACTCCCTTGAGTTGCATTGAAGTACCCGGGACGCTCGCGTCTTGTGGCGGAGTTCAACTCGCACAGTTTACTGCAGTCGTTAAAGTTAAAAGACTTGCAACGTTCATCCATGCTGCATTCCCGTCCGCAGATGACACGAGAACACACATATTTTGTTGCATGCACAAACTCTTTTAGGGCGCGATTTTCAGCGGCATAAAACGTGCTTTTCCCTGTATACGAAGTTTCAAATCCAGAGACAGACAAGGTAGCTCCCTGGCATATGATTGATATTATGTGAAATAGTTTCAAACCAGTATTGATCCGTTTTGCCATTTTTTAAAACAAAACCTTGAAGTCCTCGCTGTGACCGAAGTATTCAACGTCAATCTCAGTTTTTACGTCAACCAGATGGTTGAAATTACGAGGAACAAAACGACTAAGAATTCAAGTGATTCAAGCCACACTACTTTCGGTATCTGTCTGCTTTACACAACTGCTGGATGGCTGTATTAATACAGAGGCCAGGCGATGATGGGATTCGGTAGTTTACAGAAAGGAATGGCTTGAAGTAGACGATGTGTATCTCTCTGATTGGTAATCATATGAATACGTCATTCCACATCAGTGGCTTGTTATTGGTCAGTTTTCCCGCCAGTCGGAAACCGTAGCCTTTGATTGGCAGATGTTTTACCGTAAGCTTATTACCTCATCGATATGTAAGATTTGGATTAACGTACGTTGTGAAGCACGGAAGTCCTGTCTTGTTTAAATAATTGTCGCCATACAAAAGGCAAAACTGTCATAACAAAGGCACTTACAATCGGGAGATTTCGTACGTTCATATCAATTTCACGCTCTTTGATTCCATTCTCAAAATTGAATGAGAAGGTCAGTGATAAAGACGTCCATAATTTAAGCAGGAGTCTTTACAATAAGTACCTTTAGAAATGTAAACACGAACTGCAAAGATATCGATTTAGTTCCAGTAAATCTAATGCGATTGGGATGTATGTATTGTTGTTCTTGAGAGGCAATTTTCTGGTTGCCATGCCTACTCCTTATGCCGAAGCCATCAAGCTTCTTGCTTATTGCTTTCATTTAAGAAGATTGAGAAACCTGAATAAACAGTCTGACATATTCGGACTTAAGTTCACAAAAATCTCTACTCCTTTGAATTTGTGAATGACATTACGATTGCTTGGTTGCAAGATTGGTGAAAATGTCTCAATATTTTATAATAATCGCCATCTCTAATTTCTTAACCTCTCACTGAACGGATGTTGTTCTTCGGAAAGTGCGTGGAAAAAACGTCATTGTTTACATTATAAATTGACCTTTCAAAAATGCTTTGGGAATCTGCATTTCCTTATCAAGATTTTGTGAAACCGATTAACGGTCACCGCTGTCCTTAGATAGGGCGGCGGGGACCAGTGATGGGATATATGGCAGTTGTAGCTCTGTCCTGGGCATTGGCCTCCTCTTGATGGGAATCCGTCGTGTATATGTGTACCATTCAATCGAATGCACGTTAACTCGTACCCATCAGTGTACGAATTTACTATACACGAAACTAGCTATCATTTTCTTACTCCAACACTTTGGGATGGAAATATACAAAACTGTAGTAGGGACATGGTGAACTTCTCTCCCTTAAGGTAATTCGCACCATGTATGAAATATATCAAATATATGTACGACATATGTATTTTAACGCATACGTACAAATATACCTACGACATATATACGACTAGTTGTACGTATTATGTCGTATGACATGCGAGTCATACATACGAGCTACTTAATTCATATATCGTACATACGAGATACAATTAAGTCGAACTCACAAGATATGTTGTATTTTCATCATAATCGACAAACAAGTCGTTCATACGAGTTAAAATTCATATGTTGTACATACAAGATATTTTAATATCTTGTATGTACGACTTAAAAGTCGTACGTATATACGACATACTCGTATGAGACATATGTCGTACCCCGTCGACACATAAGTCGTAAGTACGACATATATGTCGTACCGGCACCTGTCGACATATAGTCATACGTACCGTGCAACATAATTATGTCGTTCCATGTCGACATAAGTCGTACATACGACATATAACTTATAAGTTGTACTAACAAGTTCTCAGGAATAAGTTAGCTGAAGGAGAGATCATTTTTACCATGTCCCTATTGACAGCCTAGTGGAAATACCCCAAACAATTCAGTGGTGGAGATACAATAGTGTGAGCGCTTTTTTTTTTGCCGCTGACCGAGAAAGCGCAGTGCGTTTTACCGCATAGCGCTAGACGGGCCGGTGCCTACAATGAACAGCCCGAACGAGGCCTCCGTGCACGGTGACGTCGTTTTTTTCCGGCGCGCCGTTTGTACGGTTTGCCGTTTTTTAAAGGTCAAATTTTTCATTATTTCCATTTCATTTTTGACCCAAACTATGAATAACTAATTTTTATAAATATTATTCTACTATTATTTCATAGTTTTTTAACATTAATTACCACAGGCCGTCAGGTTTATTAATTTTGGTTGTATTTAATATGCAGTATAATAAATATTCTTTTTATTTGAGCCATTATGCAATAAGAGAAGATTATTTACCATAGCGAGTACTAATTATCATATTGCGCATATTACCGTTGCTTCAAGGCTGTCATCCGCCTCGACTTACTGCATGTACGGCTGTTTACGGTTGTGTTTGTGGGGCGTACGTACATACGTGCAGACAAAGAACATCCAAGGGTCGTTGAGGCTAACGGCAATACAACTAGCTGGCGCGGCGAGCGGTGTACATGACGGAACAAGCTCGTTTGGGGAACAAGGACAGCCTTGGTCAAGGCTAAAGGCATGCAGGATAGCCCCTGATGTCATTGCACACCTCCTCGATCGTTTATATCAATTCGTTATGGCAATATTATTGATGAGTCTATTCCTTTGGCTCTTTTTTTCCAGCAGACATCTTGAGTGTATTTGTATTACGTGTGATTCCGTCATTTTGATACAAGCTTTGGAGTGCGAAGAGGTCAATTTAGTGAATAATGGACCGATCCAGTAAGCCCCTCCCACTGCGCACGTGGCAAATTAACACGTGCTCCTCTCCAATGCCACACTGCATTTTTCTGCCGCGCGCATCATACGCGCGTGCACGCATGTCGGACTTTTGTGCACGCATGTCGGACATAAATCACGGCTGTGATTGGTCAGAATATCATGGGGCGGTGCTTACTGGATCGGTCCATTGTATGCATTTGACAACGAGTTGGCTGCTACTCATACGGACTATTAAAATCGTGTACTAGGTGAAAACTAGACGGGTATTTGAGAAATAGACGGGTATTTGAACCACACATTGATATCAACCTAAACAGTCCACCTTTTAATGGTGTCAATATATTGCTTGTGTTTGAGAGTTAATAATGCGATAAAAATCCCAATCCCTTCAAGGTACACACTGTTACACACAATAATTACACCCTTATTATATACAACATAATTACAACGCATTTGTTTAACATTATCTTGCAAACCGATTTATCTGCGTTCAACAATTTACTGAATACCTTTATCAACTCTTTCTTGTTCTCACTTTGCACGCTTAATGTTTAGCTTCTAAACATGTTTTCAAGCTGATATCAAGGTTGTGTTTAATCGCAAAACACAGTTTTATCAGTGTTTATTCAATTTTAATCATGGTTGTACAATTATCCGTGATCAACTAAAATAAATATTTCGAAATGTAGGTTATACAATACAACGTTAAGCTCCAATTTCACGCATTTTCATGCCACATGCTTTCAGAGAATAACGCTGTTTCCATGCCGACCATTGTACGCCATTGTCGCTACCTGCATTTGCATCTGGGTAATATTGACCATTCAAGTGAGAGAAAAAACACCCATCAAACCACCAGGCTCCAGTGTATTTTTGTGCACAATCCTCATCTGTCGCATCATTGTCACGATCCTTTGTTGTGAAGGCACGTCCTCTGTGATATCCATAGTAAATACTTTGATCCCCAAGAGAGTCCCCGGCAGTGCTGCTGACATCGTATTGGCCAATATTCAGATTGTACTCACCCGGGGATATTTGGAAATCTGAGTACTTTGCCCATGTCGTGTTGTTCTCCCAGTCCTCTAAATCAACTCTAAGCTCCCATGTTTCTTGTGAATCATCAGATGTCAGAGTCACCAAGTTGTCGTTGCCCAACCAGAACTCACCGGACAGATTGCCAAAGCCAGACTGGTATTCGGTCCAGTTACGGTAGAAGTCCACGCTGCCATCTTGTCGCCTCTGAAACACGATCCATCCCCCGCCGTCAGTTTCCATGTCACAGTTGACACGAAGACAATTACCTAATCCCTCTGGGTAGATTGTGTAGACACCGCTTGAGCGATAACCGGCATCAAAGAGCATCTTGCAACTTTTGTAGCGATTCAAGGAGCTATCAGTCAGTGAGTAGAGAGGTGTGTGCTCATCTGCATCAAAGTACACACTCCCTTGAGTTGCATTGAAGTCTTCGGGATGCTCTCGTCTTGTAGCAAGGTTCAGCTCGCACATTTTATTGCAGTCATTAAAGTTAAAAGACTTGCAACGTTCATCCATACTACATTCCCGTCCGCAGATGACACGAGATCGCACAAGTTTGGTTCCATATGCAAAATCTTTTAGTGCGCGATTTTCAGCGGCATAAAGCGTGTTTTTTCCTGTATAAGCAGAAGTTTCAAATCCACTAACGGACATCGTAGCTCCCTGGCATATGATTGATATTATGTGAAATAGTTCTGAACGAAAGATGAGTTTCGCCATCGTTTCTATTAGTTTAAGTCTCACCAGGTAGATAGTAAAATTGCGTGGCACAAGCTTCAGCGATTTTTCATTTCTGATTCATCTATGAAAAACGGTTGTTAAACAAACAAAAAATCAAGCCATACTGCTTTTGGTAGCTGTCTTCTTACACAACTGCTAGATTGCTCTATTAATACAGAGACCAGGCGATGATAGTTTACCGAAAGGAATGGGTTGAGGTAGACGATGTGTATTGCTCTGATTGGTGATCTAAGTTAATACGTCATCCACATGGTCGGCTTGTGATTGTTCAGACTTACCACCAATTACAGACCGTAGCCTTCAATTGGCGGATGTTTAACCGTAAGCTCATCGGTCTGTACGATTTCTATAGACGTACGTTGTGAAGCGCTGAAGTCCAGCTTTTGTTTTGCCAATTAATGGTTGCAATAGAAAATGCAACCCAGTAATATTACAGCCGCCGATTATTAGGAGATTGCGTTTATATCAATTTCACGGTCTTTGATTCCATTCTCAAAACTGAATAAAAAAGTCAGTTACAAAGACGTCCATAATTAAAGCAGGAGTTTTTCAGTAGCCTTAGAAATGAATACACGAACTGTCACGATATCGATTTAGTTCAAGTGAATCTAATGAGATTGGCAGGGAACATTGTTGTCCTGAAGGGGCAATTGCCTGGTTACTATGGCTACTCCTTAAGACCAAAGGCTAATTGCGCTCAAGGATGAACGATTATCAAACCTGAATTGACAGCCTTCAGCCCGCCACACACGAAAGCTATACGTGCTGAGCAAAAAGTCACTCGAAGCCGTTTTCTCCGCATGTAGCTCACAAAATATCCATGTGTGCGGTGATTTCTGCAGTTTCCTGCCTCACGAGGCAGTGAGGCAATTATCTCCCCAGTTTGATTTCGTTCGCCTCGCGAGAGGGAAAAACACAACGTGAGCGGTCGACCACAGCTACGTGCTTAGCTTAATATAATTAACTAGCAATTAGAATCACGTATTCTGTATACACGTGATTTTAAAATAATTGTTTGTGCAAGTCTTATAGAGGCTGCTGGCGTTTGTCCTCGTTTTTAAAATCACGCGACCGACAAACAAGAATATTGTGCTTTCATTGGTTAGTTAGCTTTTTAGCTCAGCACGTAGCTCAGTTTCACCGCACACGTAGAGTTTTTCGCCTTGCGAGGCAAATTAAATAAAACATGGTATATATATATATATTTACCTTACGGCCTCGCGAGGCAGAAAACTCAGTAAAATTTCACCGCACACGGTGAGCTATGTGCTTAGCAAACAACTCGCATGAGTTTTTGCTCTCGTGTGTGACGGACTTAAATATTAAATGGGGTACCGGTAACAAATATTCTGAGTTGATTTGACAAAATCCCAACTCCTTTGCACTTATTAATGACATTAAGATTGCTTGGTTGAAAGAATTGAAAAAAATTCTCAATGTTGCATAATAATCGTAATTATTCAAAACTTAATTAAGGTCTTTTGATTGATAATGTGTTTCGCATGTTTCTTATTGTTACGTTTCGTACTTTTATCAATATTGCGATATATCTAATAAGTCTATATCTACCTGTCCACAGGACGTCAGAGCCGTATGTCGATACTCTTCAGGATGTTTAGTTAGAGCGCCACCAAGCGCTATGATAAGCCTGTGATCATGGGGTTCGCTCGTCCACCGTCCTATCCAATGGCGCTGCGACCTCTCATTTCTTTGGACGGATTTCGTTTGATCGATGGCTCGGTCAACTTTATTTGAGCTTTCACTGGGCCAATTTTGTTCCCCAGTTACACGGGTCATCACTTCCGGTTGCACATAACAAGAGCGCACGGAAGGTATGTTAACATCAAGTAACCTGCTAACAATGCTTTGCGAATCTGCGTTTCCTTCGCAAGATTTTGTGAAATGGATTAGCGGTCACCAGCGTCCTTAGATAGGGCGGTTGGGACCAGCGAAGGGATACACGGTAGTTATAGCTCTTTCCCTGGCATTGCCTCCCCTTGGTGTGAATCAATGTGCACGCGTGTTAAATGTGGAAGGGGCCAAAATGGGTAGGTCTCGATCTATTGTTGAGAGATACTTTCCGTTAATAGGAATTTAGTGGCGGATTCACGTTTTCGAAGATGAACGTTAGATTCATACAATCTGTGGACACATCGTTGGAGACTTGCGGCAACCAATGGGAATCCAGGAAACGTATTCGTCACCCAGGATTGAGGTTTATGTAGAATTTGACGCCCTAAAGACGAGGTTTCGGTCGAAAGGGTAGCCATCCATTTGTGTTTGAAGCATAAGACCTAGTCGCCTTACAGCTGCCAATCACACTGCTGTAGTCACATTTTCGCACACTCAACACTTTAAATCAATCGAGAGAAATCAGTCACGGATTGGTTCTCATCACTCGGTTTATTCAACGTCATTGGTCATTAGAACCATTTTGTTTTGGTATCGCAATATACACGCAAAAAGTAAAATGTGTTTATAAATTAAGATCCAATGAAGATTATTAGGGGTTTTAGTCGTCCTCCTGTATCTCAATGTGTGTTTAATGGTCAATTTAATTTACTTTCAAATAAGCACTCAAAGAGTAACACTCCTAAATCATACATGATGTGGAAAGTTTGCCTTAGTGATAATATTATTATTATAACAAGTGATTACCATTGATTTATTACTTGCATTTCAAATAAATTACACCCACCCCCCCAGAAAACCACGAGTTTATGAAACACTAAAACATGAGTCAGAAACACCTTGCTGACCATGTCAAGTCATGCCAAAAAGAGGAATCATTTTGATTTGTTGAAGAGCATGTTACTTTTCTTTCTTTGACAGGAGAAATAACCAACAACCCAAATCTATTTTACTTGTGCAGTACGCGTATTGGAAATAATGACATCTGACTAATTTACAAGTTGAATTGTATTTGTTTTGGATTTGTGGATTTTCAGATATTTTCTTGCGAGAGTAACTGGTTTAAATTTCTGTTGAATTTTGTATTTTATTTTGCCAAAGAATAACGCTCAATCAAGTTTGTCAGCCGACGACATTGGTGCAAAATTCCATTTGTGAAACATAGATATGAATAATCAATAATGGAATCACGCTAAATTAAATTTGAGTTTGTGTGTTTGATTGTTTGTTTCTATTTTCGGTCATGTGGTTTTATATTTGTATATTTTGCTTTTTACTTTTCTTTTTTCTTTCCATAATAACCGGAGAGAAACAAATCGGTTGGAATAACACAAAGAGTTAAACTTTCCAATAACACTTAACTACAGTTCTAAGTTGACGTCATAATTTTGTGGAACTACCGTGCAATATAATATACATATATAGGTTTTCCCAGTAACTTTAACACTTGTATCATTTCAATTCCATAGAAAAAATAACACCTGGGATTTCATATTTGGTCCAGTGTAATTCGCAAAGTTTGAGTCTTTGATTCGTGCTAGTTTCGTTAAATTCGTCTCATGTGGAGATAAGCGTTGAATTGGAAAAGCAATTTCGTTTTGTATCATTCATTAAAACGCTACAGTAATTTTCAATATGAAATCATTAGGTGTAAATTCGAAATCAGAATTAACAATGGAGCCCAACGAAGTTCTGGAACAAATTTAAAGTATCTTTCCAGGCAATTTGAATTATTCAAGTGTTAAAGCAACTGAAAAACTGTTTTAAAAACACTGACATTTGAAACATTTAACAGGTTTTTTGTTAACTATTTGCGAGAACCTTTTAAATGGTTTTCTTTACAGAGACGCATGTCCTGACTCCATCATGATTTTTTTTTCGTTTGGGTATGCCCATTGTTAATATTCTCAAATGTGAATCAGCGTGGAAACAAGTGCAGTCTAAATTCCTTGCTGCTTAGATTGAATTCCTCTGAAATTTAACGTTCTGTAGGATCAAAAGTGAACAGATAAATAGTGCAAACATTGTTCGTTTACCAGCAGAGCCGGATTAACAATATACAGGGTGACCGTCCCAATGGCATTACCACAGTTATTAAGGGACCGCTCTCGTCTTGTGGCACGGTTCAACTCGCACATGTTATTGCAGTCGTAAACAATATTGAATGCCGAAATACTTAACATGTATATATTTCTTTTTACATAATTATAATTTGCGAGAACTATTTACACCATGTTTCGTCACAAAGACGTTTGTAACTCTTGTATTGTTTATATTTTAACGGCGAAAATTCAATCGCATTTCAGTCCTTTAAAAAAAATACATTTATCGGAGTTTAACTTCGATAAAAAAAAATGAACAATCATCTTGCGTTTATCAAAAAAGAAGAAAACAACAGGCTAAATGTGTACTTATAAATGAACTGTTTTTGCCAGTGCTTAGATTATTATTCTAGCTCATCAAATATGTTAATTCAGATTGGAAACAAGCTTTTAGTCCGAAGTTGTAGCAGCTTCGGTTGAATTCGGTTAAACTTTAACATTTCGGTTGGTTCAAGTGTGGACATGCCATTTTGTAATCTTTCTGTAATTTCAAATGCATGGCAACATATGGATATCCTTTTTATAATTAAAAACATATCTAAAAATGTGAAACATAAATTTTGGAAATTATGGTTAGAAATTGATTTTTAACATATACAAGGTTAATTCTATGGGTTTACACATCCAATCTTCATGTGCAAACACAGCGTTTTAAAAGCTCAAAAGAAAGGTCATGGGCCAATGTTACGTATTAGGCGTAACAGACTTATTCTGTACCCATTAAACGTTGATAATTGGTATGGAATATTTTGCGCCAGCAAGTTCATAACGATTCGTGTTTATTGTCTACGTCATAAATATTTTGGGTATTTGTTTTAATAGAAATGCAATGGATATTTAAGGCAAAAATTGGTAAAAGATGGACATATTGTACCATTCTACATGATGAACAAGCGCCAACTCATTAATCGAATACTACAAAATCAATATTTATGGTCCAATTTCTCTCATTTTTATGCTACATGCTTCTAGAGAATAATCCAATTTCCATGAACGCCATTGCAAACCCAAAAAACCTGCATTTTCATCTGGGTTATATTGACCATTCAAGTGAGAGTAAAAACACCCATTAAACCACCAGGCGCCTGTGTATGTTTGTGCACAATTAAGATCTGCTGCATCATTGTCACGATCCTTTGTTGTGAAGGCACGTCCTCTGAGATCCAAAAAGGAATATGTGTGATGCCCAAGAGCAAGAGAGTCACCGGCAGTGCTGTTGGCATCGTATTGGCCAATATTCAGATTGTACTCACCCGGGGATATTTGGAAATCTGAGTACTTGGCCCATGCTGTGTTGTTCTCCCAGTCCTCTAAATCAACGCGTAGCTCCCATGTTCCACGTGAATCATCAGACGTCAGAGTCACCAAGTTGTCGTTGCCCAACCAGAACTCGCCGGACAGATCACCAAAGCCAAACTGGTACTCGGTCCAGTTACGGTAGAAGTCCACGCTGCCATCTTGTCGCCTCTGAAACACGATCCATCCCCCGCCGTCAGTTTCCATGTCACAGTAGACACGAAGACTATAATTACAGAAACCCTTTGCGTAGATTGTATAGATACCGCTTGAACGATAACCGGAATCTAAGAGCATCTTGCAACTTGTGTAGCGATTCAAAGAGCTATCAGTCAGTGAGTAGAGGAGTGTGTCCTCATCTGCATCAAAGTACACACTCCCTTGAGTTGCATTGAAGTCTTCGGGATGCTCTCGTCTTGTAGCAAGGTTCAACTCGCATATGTTTTTGCAGTTGTTAAAGTTAAAAGATTTGCAACGTTCATCCATGCTGCATTCCCGTCCGCAGATGACAGGAGATTGCACAGTTTTTGTTGCGTACGCTCGTTCTTTCATGGCTCGATTTTCCGCGCCAAACATGATGTGTTGGCGTGAATTACATTGGTGTCCACTAACAAAACAGACAATTTCAAACAACATCATTAATGCAAACATTTTGAAACCAGCGTCCAGTTTCGCCTTTACTGAAGAAAGTTGACAAAGCACTTTTTTCTCCTTCGGTCAGAGCTCGAACAAGATCGTCAATTTGCTGTTCTGTGATGGTTTAGATATTCAATTTTTTATTTTCTATATGTGGTCAAACAAAGGCAGAATCAGCTTTGAATCCGCCAACGTCGCTGCATCGTATCATCATTATTGCTGCCGATGTATACGTGTTACTACAGCACAACGACTGGAATGAAGCTAACGACGTACCGCTCCTGGTTTCCAGTCAGTTTAGTATTCCATGGAGATGAGAGACACTGATTGGTCAGTGAAATGAATACTAATGAACAGCTTGCACTGGATTGGTTGATATTAAGCATTGACGCGCTGCATTATCATTGTTGGATAACTGAGAAGATACTAAACTGTCACGCGGTAGATTGGTGACATCATAGAGGCACACACGACGTGTAGATCATCCCATTATGACGTCAAGATTGAATTGGCCAATGGACCTGTTACAAATAGATGATGCTAACACACACAATGGGATATTACGGAGGGTATGGAAAGTAACTCAAGGGGATACGATGTTTTAAAAATCCATTGATTCAAAACTTTTGTTTTTAACATTTTAAGAATTTTTTTGTCCTCATAAACATAGCTTAAATAACACCCTTGCAACTCCACCGAATCTAAACAAAAACGAAGGAAAACGAAGAAAGAGAAAATCTTAAAGAGATGATAAAAAGCCAGCGGGACTGACTCAAGGGCGGATCGGGGGGGGGGCCAAAGGGGGCCATGCCCCCCCCCAAAAAAAAGAAACCATTTTTTTTATGTGACATCGCAATAAAGGCAGGCAATGAGTACACCACCATCTTTTCCTCAAAAAAAACATTGGTTAAAGTGGTCAGAAATTGCCTCAGATCGCACCACAGAGCATCTAGAATCCAAACATTTTTCGGGGCCCTTAAGCGGGCCCCGAACCCCAAGCCGTAATTTTTGACCCACTATTTTGGGGGACCAACATTCTGTATGCCCCCCCCCAAAAAAAAAATTGTGTTCTGGATCCGCCCTTGGACTGACTATTGTTCTTGTGTCTCTTACTGTTTGTTGTGCATCATAAACTACTGCTGGACTATTTACCTTTTTCTATGATCTTCCCTTAAAATATTATTGACTAAGTGAACATCTCAAGACGGACGGAGGATACTGTTTCAAACGTACAGGTTCTTTTCAGAGCCACACATACGTTAAGACGAGAGGTAAGCTACTGTAAACCACATGTCAACTTAACATCCAAAGGTTGACATTTGTTTTTACTGCGTTTGTCGAAAACAAATATCCCTCGAAAAACAGAGACAAAACAGTTTTGCCTTACCGTTAAATAATTATATCGAGAAAAATATCACCCAATTTAAATCCGAGTTTCCTCATAAATAGGTAGAATTCATCATGTTTAAAAACAATACAGAAGCTCTCGACACGTTAACAGACTTTGACTAGGAGTATAGGCTTAGTCTCTATATGCATCGTGCTCAGCACCAAACAAACATGTATCTCTATAAAGTCTCAGTTCGTGCCACAATGCCAACGACAAGCATTACGCGTTCGTTAAGAAAAACTGTAGTGCTTTTATGTTGTGTAATTTTTTAATCAGCCTTAATGGTTTATTTATGTGCCATTGAAGGAAAGGTGGTCGTTTAACTGGGTATAATATTCTCAAGGTTACTGACTTAGTAATGACTTAGTAATGGAAGTATAGAGAAAAGAGAATATTAAAACGGAAAGGTTTTACCAACGAAGCGTTTGTAAGGCACTAATGGGTCGTAATGGGTTTATTCATGTATAAATGATTCTCGTTTTAGTTGCAGTCTCGAGACCCGCGTGGCAATTAACGAGTCGAGTCCACAGCAATACCCAAGGTTCATGTATTTTGAGGCCTGACGATTGCTTTGTTAAAGAAATGCGAAAATGCCTCAATATCTTAGAATGATCACAATTATTTGAGGGCCTTGATGATAATAACCGTATTTTGTGTGTTTGCTCATAACTTAAACGTCTACATGATCTGCAGACCAATTTTTTTTTCTAAAAAATTAATCTGCATGCAGCATGTTTCATATTTTACAAAAAAAACTTTTCCATAATGGTCACACTGAATATTTCCGTACGTCTCTTTTTGGAATATAATTTTGTTTCTGCAAGGTCCAGTTTGAGCGGACACTTTTTAACGACCAAAAAACTAAACTGAAATACGAAAATTCTGATATAAAAAAATCCATCTTAGTCTGCTTTTGGCGAATCTTAACCTTTTCATTCACCATTTGTACGTTTAATTTCACGAGTGTATAGAGAATATCCTCTCCCACGATATTACAGCACGTCCCCACCCACACTTACGAAAGGAATACATATAAGCTAAGCCGGTTTAAAATAAGTACGTTTAAAACCCGGCTAGGGGCCTGGACGCAGATAATGGCCCGAGCCGAATATCTACGGCTCCAGATTACGTTAGAACCTTATATAGAGACTCTACATTATGTAAAGTTAGAGCGCCACCACGCGTCATGATGAGCCTGTGATCACATTGCAGGGTTTGCTTGGCCAGATCCAACGCTCTAGTTTGCCCTGAGTGGGGCGCATATGGGAGCCTTTATTAGGAAAATTAACGTGCAAAAGTTTGAGAATTTGCAATTATTTTGATACCGAGTAGCCGGCCCCATTCTAGCAATGTTAGGCGGTTTTTGTTATTTGTCAAACATGGTAAATTTATACATCAAATTAAAGCTTGACGGGAGAAAAAAAATATGTAGCACTAAAATAATGACTGGAAAGCCAATTTCATAAACTACTTTTAAATGCCAAAAAAATACTGAAATTGTTCAATCCGTTCAAATAATATCACCATTTATACGCAATGATCCTAAAACCTGTTTCGTCCCCAAAAAAGAGAGCAATTTATTGTGTATTCTGACTGTTTGGAACAACAAAGAAAATGACACAAAATATGTGTCAACAACTGTTAACAACCCTGCTTAGGCCAGAAATATGATTTATAAAATCCACTTTTTTTTTTAAAAAGACGGGCCTTCAAAAGGACTTTGTTGAATATTTTTAACTTTTAAACTGAGGTTTTATCGCTGCTGATGTTTGAAGACCATTGTGACGACGATTCTTGAAATTACATTTTTGGACGAAAGAGTTTTTAGGGTCATTGTGTTTACATGGTGATATTCTTTGAACGGATTGAGCAAATTTCCGTAACTTTTTCATCTAAAAGTAGCTTATAAAATAATAAGCTTTCCAGTCTTTATAATTTTGGAGCTACATATTAAAAAAAAAAAAAAAAAGGAAAAATAGTTTTTGGGGTTTGGGTTCCGCTTTTTTTGACTCACCCTGTACAACACCAAGATGTCTTTTACGGTTTTCAAGTTGTGTGAAAGTAAAATGACTTTTGATAATAATAATTTAATCGGAGTCAGGCTATAATTAAACGTTACAAGCCCGTCTTTGTGTTTTATAGCTTGCCGCTGTCCAACAAAATAGAACGCTGTTATCAAAGATATCAACTATATCAAGCCCTTGCGCTCATATCAATTTCACGCTCTTTGATTCTATTCTTTAAAAAAATCAAACAGAAAGCAATTAGAGATTTCAACGACAAAGTAGGGCAAAGAAGACGTCCTTCATTTTAGCAGAGGTTTGAAAATATGCAGTCATACCAATGATAACATTTACCTGCTTCATATAAGAAGGATAACTAGACTTGAATTAAGGCCTGAAAATGAATTGGAATCACCAATAGTTGGAGTCTCTTTTACAAAATATCCCATCGTTGTTATGAAGGCCTGCTTATTAGTGACAAGTCAACTGCTTTGTCGGAAGAAATGCAAAAAGAAAAGTCTCAATGTTTTATAATGATCGTCATTATTCAAGTTCAGACAGAGTGTAATTGATGGATTAATGTGTTTGTTTGTTAACTACTGCCCAACCATTTGTCAATCAATAAAACTTGTCATAAGTATACTTTGTGCTTGATTTAATACGGCTCCACACGATGTCAGAGCCGCAGAGACTCTGCATTATGTTTATATAGAGCGCCACCAAGCGCCCTTATATGCCTGTGATGAAGGAAGAATTTGTTCTTCTCCATAGACTGGTTTCTAGTCCCTCTGTCACCGATTCTGACTTCATCAAGATCTTGTCATCAAGATCTTTTATTTGAGTGGTATGGCAGTGGGATGGAATGTAGTTAACGGTGTTTATTGGTCAAAATGTTATTTTTTTAGTCAAAATACCATTTTTGTTACCATAATTATTAATTTTGGTGGTCAATTTGTCTCCTTGTTTTAACATGCAAACCGTTAGTGTTATTGTGAGTTTTTGTATTGAAGTCAGAGAGAAATTCTATGGTGAAAGGATTTTTTTTTATTATTTAATTATTAGTATCTTAAATGTTTAAACTTGTTCCAAAGATGGGCGGGCAAACCGTAACCTTAGTTACCGTAACGAAAGTTGCCACCATTTAAGGGTATGGGCCAAAATGGGAAATACTTTTTCCTGCATGACCCTACTGATAAAAAATGTAGTTACCAGCAATTCAATGGTATATATTAGTTTTATTGATGCATATCCTCCCTTCTTCGCTCGTACGGGCCCCGCTCTGCAAATATGACCCTGGGAAGGGCTGATCTCTTTGAGCTCTCATTGGATAGATTTTGCGTGACCTGTGACGTAGCATGCAGCATATAAACCACTACAGCTGTTTATCATACCTATCGCGCTAGCTGCAAGCGAAGGTCATGATAAGTTACCCATAATGCCATCCGCACTTCCTTCACAGGATTCTGTGAATCGGCATCAGCCCTTCCCATCGCCCTATTTACAGGGCGGGTTTACGAGCGAATCCCCCACCGCCCTATCCTAGGGCTCTGGTCACCTCTTATTTATTTCAGCTCTCATTGGACGGATTTTGTTTCCTGGTGCCACGGGCCAAGGGTCAACTCTTCTATGTACACATAACAAGAGCGAGCGGCGTGTATACGTGCATTGCTTACTTTACACGTGATTTTGTGAAATGCATTAGCGGTCACCAGCGTCCTTAGATAGGGCGGTGCGGACGAGTGAAGGGATGTAGGGCCCTAGAGCCCTACATCTAGCTGTCCCGGGCATTGACCTCCTACTATGTACGTCTGTACTGCCATCTAAAGTTTAGTTTTGTTTCCACCTATCCAGGGATTCACATAAATACTTTTTAGGTATATGTGTCTGTCTTGATTCCATGGCTAATGCACATTTGAATATCTAAATGGGGAGAGGCAAAATGTTTGGGGAGTGTTTAATTTCAGGTGTAATTGATGGATAACTGTGTTTTGTTTGTTAACTACTGCCCACACATTTTTCAATCAATAAAGCTTGTCATAAGTATACTATGTGCTCTATAAGTATACTATACGGCTCCACACGATGTCAGAGCCGCAGGGACTCTGCTTATGTTTATATAGAGCGCCACCAAGCGCCCTTATATGCCTGTGATGAAGGAAGAGTTTGTTCTTCTCCATAGACTGGTTTCTAGTCCCTCTGTCACTGATTCTGACTTCATCAAGATCTTGTCATCGAGATCTTTTATTTGAGTGGTATGTCAGTGGGATGGAATATAGTTAAGGGTGTTTATTGGTCAAAATGTTAATTTTTTTGTCAAAATACCATTTTTTTTACTATAATCATTAATTTTGGTGGTCAATTTGTCTCCTCGTTTTAACATGCAAACCGTTAGTGTTATTGTGAGTTTTTGTATTGAAGTCAGAGAGAAATTCTATGATAAAAGGAGTTTTTGTATTTAATTATTAGTATCTTAAATGTTAAACTTGTTCCAAAGATGGGCGGACAAACCGTAACCTAAGTTACCCCGTAACGAAAGTTGACACCATTTAAGGGTATGGTCCAAAATGGGAAATACTATATCCTGCATTACCCTACTGATAAATAATGTAGCTACCAGAAAATAAATGGTATATATTAGAACGGGCATGGTATATATTAGCTGTCCCGGGCATTGACCTCCTACTATGTATGTCTGTACTGCCATCTAAAGTTTAGTTTTGTTTCCACCTATCCAGGCATTCACATAAATACTTTTTAGTTATATATGTCTGTCTTGATTCCATGGCTAATGCACATTTGAATATCTAAATGGGGAGAGGCAAATTTTTTGGGTAGTGTTTAATTTTAGGGAGTATATTGCGTTATTAGGGTGTTCTTGGGGCATGACTTGAGGATATGCGTTAGATCTCAGGTTGCTGCGAGGTTGCTGCGACCATTTGGAATCCAGGAATCTGATTCACTTCCCGGGCTCCAGTATGGAGATTGTGGTTGAATCCGACGGCCTGAAGACGAGGGTGCGGATGGAAGGGTAGCCAACAAGCCATCCATACGTGTTTTGAAGCATAAGCCCGAGTCGCCTTACAGCTGCCAATCACACTGCTAGAATCGCATTCTCGCACTCTCAACACTTTAACTTAATCGAGAACAAGTCAATCTAGAATTGGTTCTGATCGCTCAGTTTATTCAACGTCATTGGTCATTGGAACCATTTTGTTTATCGCAATATACAAGCAAAAAGTAAAATGTGCATATTAATTAAGATCCAATGAAAATAGTTGGGATAATTTGGTCCTCATCCCGTATCTAGATGCGTATATTTTGTGATATTAATTAAGCACTCTAAGGTCAACAACACGCCCTTAAACATGCGTGATGTTCAAATTTTGATTATTTGATACTATTATTACAAATGTATTTCGTTTATTGCAAACAAATTACCCCGACAAACAAACAAAATTAGTTTGATCGATCGAAGAGCATTGAAACTTTTTTCTCAGGAGGATAACCAGCAACCCAAATATTTGCCATTTTAGCAGTAAAATATTAACAATAAGTGGAATTTATATTCTCTTGCAGCAAAGGTTTGTGAAAGTTTAAAATACCTTTTCTTGTGATAGTAACGGGAATAAAAAAAAGTTGAAAATTGTAAAACCTTTTTGCAAGAGTAATACCACTCTACTACAAATTCCAAGCTGACGTCATTTGTGCCACATTCCGTCTTAGCAATGTAATTATGAATAATAAATTAATAATGAAATCAGAGTAACTGGACCATTAAATGTATTTTTTTTACGTTTTCCTTTTTTTTTCTCAAAATAATAAGAGAAAAAAAATCGGTCGAAAAAACAGTGTTAAAATAACGCTTATTTCCTAGACTACAATTGTGCAAAAAGAATTTAATGAAGATTAAAATTCGAAAAACCTAATTTTTTTGTTTTTAAATCTTTACAATTAAGTGAGAACATTGTCCACCATGATCCGTCATAGTCCAGCAGATATAATTCATTTTATCACTGAAAGATAAAATGTTCTCCACAAAGGCACAGTTGAGTCCTAAACTCTCTTTTATCAGCTGATGGTTGCTATGGTGTAGGAAAAGTAAACAAAAGAAAACAAAAGTAAACAAATCGATTGGCCTAATTGCAGCTAAGCCAAAAACGATGTTCACAGACAGATCACAGGTATTTGGATGCGTTTTTAAAGTGAGAAAATGTTATTTCCTTCCGTTATGCACATGACTGTACACGTGCACTTTCATTTAATAACAATTTTTTAACAGATAAACAGCTCGTATGCAAACCAATTAAGTGATGCCAAAAAGGAGCGAAATGGTTATAGATTATCATAACTTTACAATCATCCATAATTTACATGGGCTACTTTAACAAATGTATCACGACAATTATATTTATGGTCGAATTTCAAGGATTTTCATGTTACATGCTTTCAGAGAATAACGACAGGATTTCCATGAACACCATAGCACGCCCTTGTTACTACCTGCATTCTCATCTGGGTAATATCGACAATTCAAGTGAGAGGCGGAACAATCCGAAGAGAGATGTACGGCACCGCTAGTGCACGTGCACTTTCATTTAATACAACTGTTTTTGAACAGATTATTAACCAATCAAGTAATGCAAATTTATTACAGAAATGGTGAAAGATGATGGTGACTGTACAATCATCATTGATTTACATTAAAACAATTACTATGAAATTTATATTGGTGGTGCAATTTCGCGCATTTTCATGCTACATGCTTTCATAGAATAAGAATCCTTCCATGAACGCCACTGCACGCCTGTGTTTCCACCTTCATTATTATCTGGGTAATATTTACCATTCAAGTGAGAGGAAAAACAATTCCTAAACCACCAGGCTCCTGAGTTGAAATTGGCACAATTATTCCCATTCGCATCATTGTCACGATCCTTTGTTGTGAAGGGAGTTCCTCTGTGGTACCCAAGAGAGTCACCGGCAGTGCTGCTGGCATCGTATTGGCCAATAGTCAGAATGTACTCACCCGGGGATATTTGGAAATCCGAGTACTTTGCCCATGCCGTGTTGCCCTCCCAGTCCTCTATGTCAACTCGTAGCTCCCATGTTCCACGTGAGTCCTCCGAAGTCAGATTCACGAAGTTGTCGTTGCCCAACCAGAACTCACCGGACAGATCGCCAAAGCCAGACTGGTACTCGGCCCAGTTGCGGTAGAAGTCCACGCTGCCATCTTGTCGCCTCTGAAACACGATCCATCCCCCGCCGTCAGTTTCCATGTCACAGTAGACAAGTAAACTACCATTATCGACTCCCTCTAGGTAGATTGTGTAGATACCGCTTGAACAATAACCGGCATCTAAGAGCATCTTGCAACTTTTGTAGCGATTCATGGGGATATCAGTCAGTGAGCAGAGAGGTGTGTCCTCATCTGCATCAAAGTACACACTCCCTTGAGTTGCATTGAAGTCTTCGGGATGCTCTCGTCTTGTAGCAAGGTTCAACTCGCACAGTTTACTGCAGTCGTCAAAGTTAAACGACTTGCAACGTTCATCCATGCTGCATTCCCGTCCACAGATGACACGAGATCTCACAATTGCGGTTGCATATGCAGACTCCTTTAGGGCGCGATTTTCAGCGGCATTAAACCTTATTGTCCGAGTATAAGATAAGGTTTTCAATCCAGAGACAGTCAGGGTAGCTCCCTGGCAAATGATGTATATTACGTTTACCAATTCCAAACTAAAGATCTGTTTCGCCATTGTTTCCGTTCACAGAGGACTTGACGATGATATAAACTAGTTTTGTAATGCTCGCCAGGTAGTTTAAATCACTGGGAACACGTCTAACGATTTGTCGCAACTGATTGTTGTATGACCGAAAATACAACCATAGGCCTAATACTGCTTGAGTACTATAGCTGTCTTCTGAAAACCAATTCTTGATAGCTCGATAGAGATCTGGCGGTGTTGGAATTTGGAATAGCTTGGCAAGGAATGGATTCCGGTAGGTGATGTGTAAATATCTGATTGGTTATCGAAGTTAATACGTCATTCCGCACGTGGGGCTTGTGATTAGTAAGTGTTTCTCCCAGTAACGAACCGTAGCCTTTGATTGGCTGAGTGTTCATGATTTATGTAGAGGTGTATCCGAGTTGTAATAGATTGGCAGAGTCCTAATTGCTTTTCTAAGTACTTGTCTTATTTCTTTGTTTGCATGCGTAATAACAGCGGCTGAAGGCTCCCATGGTCACGTTAGGTATTGCCGGCCAAAGCCCATTAATTCAGTCGACGCCACGCATCCGGCCATGGATATACGGTAGCCTTGGTGTCGCTGGATGCCATACATGATATATCGCTGCAATTAAGAGGTACCAACTAAATGGCTAAAAGACGTTCGGTCAGTTTTACGCTCGTTGATTTTGATCTCGACACTGAAATAAATTTCACCGACCAGTCCAGTATTGTGAAGGGCAGTCTCATCGATCATGGGATAACAAGAAAATTCACAAAGTGATCGTATTTCCGTCGTTATTTTCGAAGGGAAGCTCCTGTTAATATGCTCATACTCCTCATGTCGAAAGTAACAGGCCCCTGATAGCCTGGCATTAAGACATTAAAATGTAGTCCCAAAATATTTGTAGATGTATCACAAATATCTGAGATAATAATTAGTGATTACTGAAATTTATCACGTCAAAGATGTATTTTTTAGACAAAATAATTGATTGTACTGGAAAGGATTTAATTTGGAAATCCTTTGTTCTTATAAATTAAAATATACAGTGTTTCAGAAAATAGTTGTCTACCCGATCACTCTGCGCTTGTAACAACAAACGCGAACTTCTTGTATCAATTCGTTATGGCAATTATTGATGAGTCTATTCATTTTGCTCTTCCTTTGCAGCAGATATCTTGAGTGTATTGCGTGTGATTCCGTCATTTTGGTACAAGCTTTAAAAGTGCAAACAGGTCAATTTAGTGGATAATTCTATGCATTTGACAACGAGTTGGCTGCTACTCATACGGACTATTAAAATTGTGTGCTAGGTTAAAACTTGACGGGTATTTGAAAACTTGACGGGTATTTGAACCACACATTGATATCAACCTAAACAGCCCACCTTTTAATGGTGTCAACATATTGCCTGTGTTTGAGAGTTAATAATGCGATATAAATCCCATTCCCTTTAAGGTATACACTGTTACACACAATAATTACTCCTTATTATACCAACATCATTACAACGCGTTTGTTTAACAATTACCTTGCAAACCGATTTATCTGTGTTCAGCAATTTATTGAATACCTTTATCAACAACCTCGTGCACCGTTGGTACGATCTTGCAGCGCCATTTTGTTTCCAATCATGCCTTGCGCGATCGTAACCCATGGAATTTTGTAATTTAAATGTGCCAAAATACGGCACATTATAATAAGGGCTGCAGTTTATCCGTTTTACGTGCCGACGCCATCTTTAAAATGTTGAAAGTTGTGATTTTGAAGAATCAATCCTTTCAAACACAACGTTTGGACATTGTGTTAATTAGCAAAGATTTTTTATTAAATGTACGTACCACTTTCGTGCCTTTACAACCACAGATACAGGGTTTTCTAAGCGAAAAACGGGGCTGCCATAATCCATATCGTACAGGCATCGCGACTTTTGAATCATAATTTTTGTTTCGTAAGTGACGTTACGTGCAAAGCTAAGCACGCGAGCGCGAGCGCATTATGGGCGCGCCCGGCGTGCAATCTTCGAAATGCCGGCGCAGTACGCTGTGAATAGCCATTCAGCGTCATGTACGTCATCATCACAGCCAGGGGTTAGTGTAAGCATAGATATTTATTCTATATCTATGAGTGTAAGGAACGAGCACGCGCCCCTGGAGTCGAGGCTGCTTTATCAACTCTTTCTTGTTCTCCATTTGCGCGCTTAATGTTTAGCTTCTAAGCATGTTTTCAAGCTGATATCAAGGTTGTGTTTAATCGCAAAACACAGTTTTGTCAGTGTTTATTCAATTTTACTCATGGTTGTACAATTATCCGTAATTACACGCGCCGACTAAATTAATATTTCGAAATTTATATTATACAATACAACTTTGAGCTCCCATTTCACGCATTTTCATGCCACATGCTTTCACAGAATATTGCCATTTCCATGCCGACCATTGTACGCCATTGTCGCTACCTGCATTTGCATCTGGGTAATATTGACCATTCAAGTGAGAGAAAAAACAGCCATCAAACCACCAGGCTCCACTGTATTTTTGTGCACAATCCTCATCTGTCGCATCATTGTCACGATCCTTTGTTGTGAAGCCACGTCCTCTGTGATACCCATAGTAAATACTTTGATCCCCAAGAGAGTCCCCGGCAGTGCTGTTGACATCATATTGGCCAATATTCAGATTGTACTCACCCGAGGATATTTGGAAATCTGAGTACTTTGCCCATGCCGTGTTGTTCTCCCAGTCCTCTAAATCAACTCTAAGCTCCCATGTTCCTTGTGAATCATTAGACGTCAGAGTCACCAAGTTGTCGTTGCCCAACCAGAACTCACCGGACAGATCGCCAAAACCAGACTGGTACTCGGTCCAGTTACGGTAGAAGTCCACACTGCCATCTTGTCGCCTCTGAAACACAATCCATCCCCCGCCGTCAGTTTCCATGTCACAGTAGACACGAAGACTGCCATTACCGAATCCCTCTGGGTAGATTGTGTAGATACCGCTTGAACGATAACCGGCATCAAAGAGCATCTTGCAACTTCTGTAGCGATTGAAGGAGTTATCAGTCAGTGAGTAGAGAGGTGTGTCCTTATCTGCATCAAAGTAAACACTCCCTTGAGTTGCATTGAAGTCTTCAGGATGCTCTCGTCTTGTGACGAGGTTCAACTCGCACATGTTGTTGCAGTTGTTAAAGTTAAAAGACTTGCAACGGTCATCCATGCTGCATTCCCGTCCGCAGATGACACGAGAACGAACAGTTTTTATTGCAAACCCAAACCCTTTTAGGGCGCGATTTTCAGCAGCATAAAACGTGCGTTTCCCTGTGTACAAAGTTTCAAATCCAGAGACGAACAAGCCAGCCCCTTGGCATATGATGGATATTGTGTGAAACAGTTTAAAACCAGTGAAGCTTCGTTTGGCCATTTTTTCGATAACTTGAAGTCCTCGCTGTGGCTGAAGCTTTTTTTGTTGTTTTGTGTGCCGGATAGTTGAAATCACGACAAAGAATTCATGCCACACTGCTTTTGGTAGCTGTATTCTTAACACAACTGCTAGATTGCTGTGATACATAGGCCAGATGATAATGGGATTTGGCAGCTTACAGAAAGGAATGGGTTGAGGGAGACGATGTGGGTCTCTCTGATTGGTTATCAGATGAACACGTCATTTCACATCAGTGGCTCATCATTGGTCAGTTTTGCCGCCAGTCACAAACCGTAGCCTTTGATTGGCCGGTGTCTTACCGTAAGCTTATTACCTCATCGGTCTGTATCAAACGGATTAACGTTCTTTGTGAAGCGCTAAAGTCCTGTCTTCGTTTTAATTATTTGTCGTCATGCCAACTAAGTACTGTAATAACAAAGGCACCGACAATCAGGAGATTGCGTATGTTCACATCAATTTCACGCTCTGTGATTCCATTCTCAAAGTTAAATGAGAAGGTCAGTGATAAAGACGTCCGTAATTGAAGCAGAAGTCATTACAATAAGTACCTTTAGAAATGACAACACGAACTGCAAAGATATCGATTTAGTTCCAGTGAATCGAATGAGATTGGGGCGCATGTATTGTTGTTCTCGAGAGGCAATTCTCTGGTTGCCATGCCTACTCCTTATGCCGAAGGCATCAAGCTTATTGCTAATTGCTTTCAATTAAGAAGATTGAGAAACCTGAATTAACAGTCTGACATATTCGGACTTGCGTTCAAAAAAATCTCTACTCCTTTGAATTTATGATTGACATTACGATTGCTTGGTTTTAAGATATGAGAACATGTCTTCATCTCAATTTCTTAACCTCTCATTGAACGGATTTTGTTCTTCCGAAAGCGCGGCTAGGAAAGAACGTCATTGTTAACATTAAGTGTCCTTCCAAAAATGCTTTGCGAATCTGTGTTCCCTTCACAAGATTTTGTGAAACAGATTAACGGTCACCAGCGTCCTTAGATGGAGCGGTGGCGACCAGCAATGGGATATATGGCAGTTAAAGCTCTGTCCTGGGCATTGGCATTGTCTTTATGTGAATCTGTCATGTATATTTGTGACCTGTTCTGTCAAAATCAGACTTTTCTGGGCATTAAAAGGTAAAAAAACATATGTTAACAATATGTAAAAATCTCATTTTCGACCTTTTGCCCAGAAGCGTCTGCTTTTGACAGAACAGGTCACTTTTGTACTGCCCTCTATGGTTTAGATATCTATTTTCACCCTCGCAACAAATTTATATCTGGTATGTTTTTCTTGATCCTAGGTTAAAGCAGATTTGTATATTTTATATGGACGAGCTTAAAATTTGGATAGTGGTTGATTTTAGGGGAGCCTGTTCGGTTAATATTGCTTGTTTATTAGAGGCATGACTTTGTTCGTAGATGTATGCTGGATCGACACTGGTTCGACACTTGCGGCGACCAATCAGAATCTGATTATTGTATTGCTATTTAGGTTAAAGTTCAGGGCATGAAGACTGGCCATGGTCAAGGCGTTTGGCGGTAGTGTCCCGTAATCGATGGTTGGCCGCAAAGATACACATCAGCCATGCGTTATGCACTCGCAAGATTACATACTGCATGAAGTGCAAACAGCGACCTGGCGCGGCTAGGCTACTAAGTGAAAAAAAAACATTTGCTGCTTAATTGAACAACCATTGGGATAGCCTATCTTCTTCGGGACATTTTCCATATTTTGTCACTGGATTTAATCGAATTATGCAGACTCCAAACGTCAGCTCGAAGTTTATGTAAAATATGAGCTTCCAAGAACAAACACAAAATAATAATGTAATCTTTATTTGCAAACGGGGTCGTCGCTGGAATCCAGCGACAAAATAAAGAAAAACCTAAGCCAAGGCCCATGGATGTTTCAAGGCGTTCAAATCACATTCTCACACACTCAACCCTTTAAATCAACGAAGAAAAAAGTCCACGAATTGGTTCTCATCACTCAGTTTATTCAACGTCATTGGTCATTGGAACCTTTTTTTGTATTGCAATATACAAGCAAAATTGTGAATTGTGAATATGAGTTAAGTTTTAATTAAGAGTCTCAGTAGTCGAAGAACATGTTGTTTTTTCACTAACATGACGAATAATCAGCAACATATTCATCTGGAATTTGTGCAGTTATTATGAATACTAAATGATGAGATCAGACTAACTTAACAAGAAACATTCAAATTGATTTGGTTTTGTATATTTTTCAATATTTTCTTGCGCTAGTAAGTAAAGAACAAATGTTGCAGATTTAAACCATTTTTGCAAAAGGAATAACACTTAACCTCTATTTCCAAGCTGATATCGCTTGTGCAACATTCTACTTGTGGACAATAAATAGGTATTGTTAATGTTGACATCAGGCTAACAATTACATTTCAAATTGGTTTCGTTGTCTCTAATTTTGGTTTTGCGTGTGTTTTTTCCCCCGTTAAGTAGCCTACTTAAAGAAAAGAAAAACGGTCCAAATCAAACAGAAGGCTAAAATAACCCATATTTTCTTTGGCGATGGTAATAAAACTTGACAGCAGTTTCTAGCAAACGCCACTTGTGGAACTAATATGCAATAGAAATATACACAGTAGATATTGAAATACGAATAACTTAGCATGCATTTTTTTTATTTTACATAATATACAACATTCGAGAACGTCTGTATACAATGTTCCGTTGAACATTTTTTTGATTATTTTACTGGCAAAGATTCAAGAGGACTTTCATTCTTAAAAACATACACTCATCAGGGCATTTAGCTCCGATGGAAGCGAACAATCTTGTGGCGGTGTTTTGTTTTCAAAGTAAGGCAATCAGTCTTATGGAGTACCGTAGTGAATACGTCACGTGCACAAAATGTGTGTGAAAGACATTAGCGCGTGAACCAACACGCGCGCGTACTCCATTCTGTAGTAGTACTGGCACTACACTTTCTGGTTCTAAATGACGTCACAACTCGATACTCCATAGGTGCCCACGTATACATGACCTTGTCTTGGGTGTGGTTACGAATAATGGTAATTTTTTCGACTCATCTAAATCATTTTGCACGAGGAAAAACACCCTACTATAAATTCTAAGTAGACGTCATTTGTGCCACATCTATTGGTGCAATATAATTATGAATAATTAATAACGAAATCAGACTAAGACTAACCAGTGTTGTAGTCGCAGTGTTGTAGTCGAGACCGGATAGTCCGAGACCGAGACCAAGACCGAGACCTGAAGCTGCGAGACCGAGACCGAGACCGAGACCAGCCCCTTCAAGGCGGACCGAGACCGAGACCGAAATGGTCCGAGACCGAGACCGAGACCGAGACCGCGGATAATAAATAACAATAATCTAAATAAACAACAAAACACTAATTACAGCTGAACAGTCTGTCCTTGAGATGTTGATGTTCATGGGCATGTGAAGGAAGTGATTGAAAGTTAGGAATCACTTGTACCTGCTTATTGTGTCATGCGAGTGCTCTTCGTGTTTGCCTCATGACATAAATTACAACATGGCAACAGAATTTGTTATTGTCACAATCAATTAAAAAAATATTGTTTAACTACTATAAGTGTAAATCTGATGAAGAAACTCTAACTTAGGAGTACGACAATTTGTACTAGTTTTTGCAAAACTTGAACATGTTGAAACTTGACAAAAGTAAAAAGTTAAAGGTGGATGTTTCATCTGTTATAGGAACTCGGACCCTAAACTCCAGAGCCTGCCCTTGGTTTCAGCAATGACCACTAACGGATATTCAAATGCAACTTTAATTTTACATTGGACCTCCTTGTAAACCTGATTCGAAAAAAATTTGGAGCAAGAAAATATTGATTTATTTTTTAAAATTTCAGTCATGGAATATAGATTTGTACATGTAGACCAAAAAATTGAGAGATGGTAGCCAGATATGGATTGGTCTGCCCCCCCCCCCCATCCCTCTTTGTGATTCTCCATCCAACCCTGCATGTTTGTGTGTCCCCTACATGTTTGTTTCATTTACCTCTGAAGAAGGCCTGGCTAAGGCTGAAATGTAATGCCACTTTATTTTTGTTTAATGTCAATAACGTTACATATACTATATAAGATCGATGAACCATATTTGCCTGATCTATCTTCTGTTAATCTGCCCGCCGTCATCATCGCCATTAGCCTATTTGAGAATATGGCCGACACAATAGAAGGGCGCTGTCACAACGTTACATATACAATAGAAGATTGATGAACCATATTTGCCTGATCTATCTTCTGTTAATCTGCCCGCCGTCATCGTCGCCATTAGCCTATTTGAGAATATGGCCGACACAATAGAAGGGCGCTGTCACAACGTTACATATACAATAGAAGATTGATGAACCATATTTGCCTGATCTATCTTCTGTTATTCAGCCCGCCGTCATCATCGTCATTAGCCTATTTGAGAATATGGCCGGCACAATAGAATGGCGCTGTCACAAACTGAATGTGGTGGGCGAGATGTACTTTTAGGATTCATGGCTCAGTGCGCACGCCTCTCTGTGTTTTGTACCGTGCCAGCATATCGCCTGCATCGGCTACTTTGCTGGGCGATTTACTTGAATATTTTAGTGATTAACAATTACGACATATTGCCAATATATTAATAGTTTATTGTGATGGCCGTAAACAGCATATAGCGATTAATGAAACACAATTCTTCTCGACTCATGCAAATGCAATTAACATTTAGGAAGGGGACGAGGCAGGCAATTATTAGACTCTATTTTTGTGTGACCATGGCAGTAGCTCAATTTGTGTTTATCACAGATGAAAAGATAAATACATGGCGAGTCACAAAAAGAAATTGACCGTATGATAAAAAAAAATGGCACGCTCCATTTTGTAAAAAAATATAATTGGGATAAAGAACATGTTATTGAGTAGTAACTGTGAACATTTCACGTAATTTGCATACTATATAAGATCGATGAACCATATTTGCCTGATCTATCTTCTGTTAATCTGCCCGCCGTCATCATCGTCATTAACCTATTTGAGAATATGGCCGACACAATAGAAGGGCGCTGTAAAAAACTGAATGTGGTGGGCGAGATGCACTTTTAGGATGCAAGGCTCAGTGCGCACGCCTCTCTGTGTTTTTTCCCCCGCAGCGTATCGCTCGCATCGGCTACTTTGCCGGGCAATTTACTTGAGTATTTTAGTGACAAGTACGACATTGCCAATATTCTAATCGCTTATTGTGATGGCCATAAACAGCATATAGCGATTAATGAAACAAAAGACTTCTCGACTCTTGCAAACGCAATTGACATTGAGGAAGGAGACGAGGCAGGCAATAAGACTCTATTTTTCTGTGACCATGGTAGTAGCTCAATTTGTGTTTATCACAGATGAAATGATGAATACATGGCGAGTCAAAAAGAAAGTGACCGTATGATGAAAACAAAATGTAAAAAAATATTATTGGGATAAAGAACATGTTATTGAGTAGTAACTGTGAACATTTCACGTAATATGCATACTATTCCCAAGTCGTGTCTATTTTAATAAAGAGATCACAAACTTCAGCTGTCCACCACTAATACCATGCAATTTAACGGTCTAAAAAATATTATTGGGATAAAGAACATGTTATTGAGTAGTAACTGTGAACATTTCACGTAATATGCATACTATTCCCAAGTCGTGTCTATTTTAATAAAGAGATCACAAAATTCAGCTGTCCACCACTAATACCATGCAATTTAACGGTCTACGAATTGATGAATATCAATTAATAAATATAATTTAAAAAAAAAGTTTTCCCGCCTCCACGAATAAAGTAAAAATTGAAAAGGAAAATCGAAAAAATATCACCAATATTTCTGGGGAAAAAGAGTTGAATTGTTCCCCATATTCAAAATACAAAATCTGACGGTAAAAATAATGTTTCAGTCTTGATTCATAAGATTTAAATCTCAGTTGTATTTGGAATCAATGAGGATGGCTATAAAGTGCTTGTTTCAACAATATCATCCCACAATAAAAACGAAAAATAAGAAGAGGAGCAATGGTTATTGGACTATGCCTCACTCACTAGAAAGTGAAGAGAGACATGTCCATTAGCATCACACTGCAGTCACATTTGCCCTAAACTGATTCTTTACTTAACCCTAAAAGGGCCGAAATCCGCCCCCGCCCCTCACTTTTTGGCTGGTCTCGACTCGAGACCAGCCAAAATATCGAGACCAAAGGGGACCGAGACCGAGACCAAGACCGAGACCACAGCTCCCGAGACCGAGACCGAGACCAAGACCGGCAAAAAGTGGTCTCGAGACCGAGACCGAGACCGAGACCGGTCTCGAGACCTACAACACTGGTCTCGAGACCACTTTTTGCCGGTCTCGGTCTCGGTCTCGGTCTCGGGAGCTGTGGTCTTTTTTTTTTATCATACGGTCACTTTCTTTTTAACTCGCCATGTATTCATCTTTTCATCTGTGATAAACACAAATTGAGCTACTGCCATGGTCACACAAAAATAGTCTTATTGCCTGCCTCGTCTCCTTCCTCAATGTCAATTGCGTTTGCATGAGTCGAGAAGACTTTTGTTTCATTAATCGCTGTATGCTGTTTACGGCCATCACAATAAGCGATTAGAATATTGGCAATGTCGTACTTGTCACTAAAATACTCAAGTAAATTGCCCGGCAAAGTAGCCAGAGAGGCGTGCGCACTGAGCCATGCGTCCTAAAAGTGCATCTCGCCCACCACATTCAGTTTGTTACAGCGCCCTTCTATTGTGTCGGCCATATTCTCTAAAAGGCTTATGACGATGATGACGATTATTACAAATGTATTTCGTTTATTGCAAACAAATTACCCCGACAAACAAACAAAATTAGTTTGATCGATCGAAGAGCATTTAAACTTTTTTCTCAGGAGGATAACCAGCAACCCAAATATTTGCCATTTTAGCAGTAAAATTTTAACAATAAGTGGAACTTATATTCTCTTGCAGCAAAGGTTTGTGAAAGTTTAAAATACCTTTTCTTGTGAAAGTAACAGGAATAAAAAAAGTTGAAATTGTAAAACCTTTTTGCAAGAGTAATAACACTCTACTACTAATTCTAAGCTGACGTCATTTGTGCCACATTCCGTCTTAGCAATGTAATTATGAATAATAAATTAATAATGAAATCAGAGTAACTGGACCATTAAATGTATTTTTTTACGTTTTCCTTTCTTTTTTTTCTCAAAATAATAAGAGAAAAAAATCGGTCGTAAAAAGAGTGTTAAAATAACGCTTATTTTCTTTTTGCCGTAGGAATAACACTCAACTGCATTTTCTAAACCGTCGTTATCATTTTGTGGGACTACAATTGTGCAAAAAGAATTTAAGGAATATTAAAATTCGAAAAACCTATTTTTTTTGTTTTTAAATATTTACAATTATGCGAGAACATTGTCCACCATGATCCGTCATAGTCCAGCAGATATAATTCATTTTATCACTGCAAGATAAAATATTCTCCACAAAGGCACAGTTGAGTCCTAAACTCTCTTTTATCAGCTGATGGTTGCTATGGTGTAGGAAAAGTAAACAAAAGAAAACAAAAGTAAACATATCGATTGGCCTAATTGCAGCTAAGCCAAAAGCGATGTTCACAGACAGATCACAGGTATTTGGATGCGTTTTCAAAGTGAGAAAATGTAATTTCCTTCCGTTATGCATATGTTCAGGACTGTACACGTGCACTTTCATTTAATTATTAACAATTTTTTAACAGATAAACAGCTCGTATGCAAACCAATTAAGTGATGCCAAAAAGGAGCGAAATGGTCATAGATTATCATAACTTTACAATCATCCATAATTTACATGGGTCAATTTAACAAATGTATCACGACAATTATATTCATGGTCGAATTTCACGGATTTTCATGTTACATGCTTTCAGAGAATAACGACAGGATTTCCATGAACACCATAGCACGCCCTTGTTACTACCTGCATTCTCATCTGGGTAATATCGACCATTCAAGTGAGAGGCGGAACAATCCGAAGAGAGATGTATGGCACTGCATGTGCACGTGCACTCTCATTAATAAAACTGTTTTTGAACAGATTATCAACCAATCAAGTCATGCCAATTTATTACAGAAATGGTGAAAGATGATGGTGACTGTACAATCATCATTGATTTACATTAAAACAATTACTATGAAATTTATATTGGTGGTGCAATTTCGCGCATTTTCATGCTACATGCTTTCATAGAATAAGAACCCTTCCATGAACGCCATTGCACGCCTTTGTTTTCACCTTCATTATTATCTGGGTAATATTTACCATTCAAGTGAGAGGAAAAACAATCCCTAAACCACCAGGCTCCTGAGTTGGATTGGGCACAATTGAACCATGTCTCATCATTGTCACGATCCTTTGTTGAGAAGGGACGTCCCATGTGCCACCCAAGAGAGTCACCAGCAGTGCTGCTGAAATCGAATCGGCCAATAGTCAGATTGTACTCACCCGGGGATATTTGGAAATCCGAGTACTTTACCCATGCCGTGTTGCCCTCCCAGTCCTCTAAATCAACTCGTAGCTCCCATGTTCCATGTGAATCATCAGACGTAAGAGTCACCAAGTTGTCATTTCCTAACCAGAACTCACCGGGCAGATCGCCAAAGCCAGATTGGTACTCAGCCCAGTTACGGTAGAAGTCCACGCTGCCATCTTGTCGCCTCTGAAACACGATCCATCCCCCGCCGTCAGTTTCCATGTCACAGTAGACAAATAGACTACCATTATCGACTCCCTCTGGGTAGATTGTGTAGATACCGCTTGAACAATAACCGGCATCTAAGAGCATCTTGCAACTTTTGTGGTGATTCATGGGGATATCAGTCAGTGAGTAGAGAGGTGTGTTCTCATCTGCATCAAAGTACACACTCCCTTGAGTTGCATTGAAGTCTTCGGGATGCTCTCGTCTTGTGGCAAGGTTCAACTCGCACATTTTATTGCAGTCGTTAAAGTTAAACGACTTGCAACGTTCATCCATGCTGCATTCCCGTCCGCAGATGACACGAGATCGCACAGTTTGGATTGTATATGCAAAATCTCGTAGGGCGCGATTTTCAGCAGCATGAAACATTCGTTTCCGTGTATAAGATGAAATTTCAATTCCACAGAGAGACACAGCAGCTCCGTGGAACACGAGGAATAAAATGATAATCAATTTAGTATCAAAGATCTGCTTCGGCAACTTCTCCATTTGAAACGAAAGAATTAACGTTGGTCTAGGTTTGTTCATCAAATGGTGCCAGATAGTTTCGATCGCCAAGTCGTATCTTGGCGATTATCAAAATAATATCGTAACGATTGATTTTAGACAAAATTCCAGAAAAACTCCTTGCACAGTGAAGCAAACTGTTTGTCTTGCTCCAACGCTGGCGATATAATGAAAAACCTCAATACACCACACTAAATGATATAGAGGCCCGGCGGTGATGGAATTTGGTATTGCATGGAAAGGAATGGGTATATAGAGGTGGAAGACTTGTAACTCACTGATTGGCTATCGAAGTAAATGCGTCATTCCTTGTGATTGGTCTGTTTTCCCGCCAGTGGCACACCCTGTACGCAAAGAGGAATTTGTGATTGCGTTCTTGAAACAAAAAAACGTGGCAAAGACTTTAAATTTCCCAAATTATTAAACGCGGCTTGCGGTCTTCGCATTCAGGTAAATACAATTTAATAACTCTATGTGATATATGGCTTTGTCTTTATTTAATACATGCATGATGAAAATTATTACGTTGGTTGGGAGTGTCACAGTTCGTTGGGAGTGAAGAGTACACATGAGCCCAAACCAGCCTATATAATTTTTTATTGTTTTGGTCGTATGAGAAACAGGTAACCATATTACTTCGGCTAGTTCTGTTGTCAGTAATTGCCCCTATACCTCTAAACAATAGCTCCTAAATAAGAGATTCGTCCGTGGCCTCAGACAAAAACCACTACGACTGCCGTGGTACGAGAGCATTCATGAGTTTTTTTACTCGACCTCGTTGCAATGATCTTAGTTGTCAGTAAATTTTTATAGATAGAGAGGGGGAGAGAGGGGGAGATGGAGGGAGAGTTGAGTGTTGCTAGTTGAGTTATACTGCGGAATATTATTCAGATCCCAAAACACGAACAAGGCCGCCAGATGGGCCTACAGGCAGACATCAAGAATACACATATAAGTTTGTATATTACCTTAACTATAGTCAAAGTACCACCAGAAACTCTGTAAAAGGCATTACCAAGCAGCAAGCAAGGTACGGAAACCTAGACAGGTCATGTACATGTTTTAATGGTATTTTTTATCTGCTCAATGAGTTTTACCAGTGCCTGCAGATAAATATATATATATATTTTTTACGTTTTGTATCAATAATATGTTGCACACAAGTGAACTTTTTTTTGCATGAAGCAGATATACAGGACAGTCCCAAATGATATTCAGCTTTTTTAAAAGGTTTATATTTATGTGCATGCAATGGTAAAAATCAATATGCAGCACAGTGTGAAACACAGTAAAAAACATCTCATTAAAAAATCAACTGGCATCTCTAGACTTCCGTACATTGTCACACTGCTGTTAAGTTACGCCTTTTAAAGAGTCTCTTGAGGTACTTTGACTTTATTCATGTAATATAAAATAGTGATGTATCGCTGTGGCTTCAGTGTATACAGCGTATGTATCGATACTTTAATCTTTCTGACTTTTTAGCATAATGATTTATGATTAATATTCCACACTTTGAAACGATAATGGACTGCTGCAAGTCTAGCTTGAGGGAATGAACATGACGCGCGAAACAAACATGACTACATGTAGCCTAGCAACACGAATTTCTCTATAAACATGTGAATATACTTTACTGACATAAAGACTGTACTGAAATTGCAACGTGGGCGAGTAAGTGACACTGGTAGAGGCCCACTGTTCTATTCAGAAAGCAACAATGTCCTCGTTCTACGGAAGTCGGAGTTTTTTTTGGTGTGAGGCAGCATATGTGTATCTTTTTGTGTACGTTATCGACAGTTATCGACGTGCAAGTGCTCATAATAAACGTAGGCGTAGCTATGGTAACCCGTGTCGACTGAAACAATATAAGCGACACAGACTGGTTTCCAGTTATATTCTACACTGTCATGAAGATTACATGTTGTCGTCTCCGTTTCAGAATGCTTCGCAGCTCATTCGAATTGTTCTTTGTTTTACGTTTATAATCCTTATTTTCTGGAGAAAGTTACGCTCAACCACCAGAACTCTGATATACATGTACTAATTTCTGAAATAATTTTGTAAAAAGTAAGTAATTAAAAAAAAAAAAAAATGATCAACTTCATTTCAAATAAGTCAGGCTTCATTTATTCCTTTGTTTTCTTTTTTCAGACACAGCCTCGAGGTCAGCAGGTTTCAGTAAGCGATGCCACATTTCAGCATGTCTTCTGTCAACCACATGTTCTGTATTTTACCATAATATTTGTCGTACGTCTCTCTCCACGGTGCTGCATGTTAAAGCGCCACCAAACATCACGATGAGCCCAGTCACTCCCAACTTCTATTTCCATCCAACCTCGTCCCCTGGCGTCGAGCAGTACGCTCCCACTGATTGTGCAATAATTCATGATTTACAAGCGCCAATTCAAAACAAATATTTGGAAATTGATATTAATGGTGCAGCTTCACGTATTTGTATGCTGTATATTTTTTTAGGGAATAAAAACGCGATTTCCATGTGCAAAACCACCAGGCTCCTTCGACATACTGTGCACAATTCAAACCTACCGCGTCACTGTCACGCAGTGGCGTACCCAGGAATTTTGCAGGGGGGGGGGGGGGCCGCTGGGGGGGTGGAACATTTCATGGGGGGGGGGCGTCATGTCGATCAATGATAATTATTTTTAGAAACTCAAAATCTCAGTTGGGGGGGGGGGCGACTGGGGGCGACAAGGTTTCATGGGGGCGGTCCCCCCCCCCCCCCACGCCCCCGGTGGCTACGCCACTGCTGTCACGATCAATTATTGAGAAGGGAACTCACTATGCTATCCCCAGGAGAGTCATACTGTTGGAAATAATAACTCTCTAAATATTGATTTTCGTTACAGCGATTCTAATGAAATAGAGAGGGGGAATATTGCTCTCGTGGGAACAATTAGGTTACTATGCCTACCCCTAAAGGCCACTAGCAAAGTGCTTCGAGGAGAAACGATTACCAATTTTGGGTAACTCTTAGAGCACAAGCTCATTACGCGCAAGGATGAACGATTACTGGCCTTCCCGCCAGTCACAAACCCGCGTAAAGCCTTTGCTGGCGGGAGTTTTATTATAAGCCATTACCCCATCAGTCTGATATTATGGATATATTTACTCTGTGAAGCACTGAAGTACAGTCTTCGTTCTGTTATTTAATTGTCGTCATAAAAAAAGTAAGTTGCCAGCAGTCTTCAAATAAGTAGTCAAATCGCTGGCAACTATAGCTCTAACGATACTGTTTAAGTTCCAGCGATTCTACTGAAATTAAGAGGGGGAATATTGCTCTCGTGGGAACAATATTCTGGTTACTATGCCTACCCCTTAAGACCACTAGCTAATTGCTTCGACGGGAACGATTACCAAAGATGCCTCACTCTAAGAGCACAAGCTTATTACGCTCAAGGATGAACGATTACCAAACCTTTATTGATAGCCTGATATTAAATAGAGTCACAGACGTTGGGAGTTGCGTTTAAAATATGTTGTAGGTATGTCTGTCTTGACTCTGTGGTTAAGGCAGATTATAAGGGAAATATTTGGATAGTGCTCAATTTCTGACGACCTGATTCCGTTATTGGTTGGGTGCAACACATGCTTCGAATATGTATGTTACTTCACAAGATTAGGGAACGATTCGTTCGAGACTTGCGGAAACCAATTTGAATCCAAGGAAGTTTCAAATTCAGAGACAGGCCAGTCAGTTTTGTGGCACATAATGGATATTATGTGAAACAGTTCCTGAAAAGTAAAGATCTGTGTCGCCATTGTTTCCATTAGTGGACGTCCTCGTTATGATCGAGAGTTTAACGCCGACTCAGTTTTCTTGCAATGCGTAGCAGATATTTAAAATCGCGGGGAACAAAATCTAGGGATTTGTCGTGTTGTGTCCGATTGAACTACAATAACGATTGCTATACGACCAAAATAAACAAGCCACATTGCTTTGGAGCGGCATAAAGTGGAACCCAAACCCCACAAAATACATTAAATATTTTTAAAAAAAGTATGTAGCACCAAAATAATGACTGGAAAGCCAATTTCATAAACTACTTTTAAATGCCAAAAAAATACTGAAATTGCTCAATCCGTTCAAATAATATCACCATTTAAACGCAATGACCCTAAAACCTGTTTCGACCCCAAAAAAGAGAGCAATGTATTCTGACTGTTTGGAACAACAAAGAAAATGACACAGAATATCCGTCAACAACTGTTAACAACCCTGCTCAGGCAAACAATATGATTTATAAAATCCACCTTTTTTTTTTTTAAAGACGGGCCTTCAAAAGGACTTTGTTGAAATTTTTTAACTTTTAAACTGATGTTTTATCGCTGCTGATGTTTGAAGACCATTGTGACGACGATTCTTGAAATCGCATTTTTGGACAAAAGAGGTTTTAGGGTCATTGTGTTTAAATGGTGATATTCTTTGAATGGATTGAGCAATGTCAATAATATTTTCATCTAAAAGTAGCTTACAGAAATAATAGGCTTTCCAGTCATTTTAATGTTTGGTGCTACATATTTAAAAAATAAAAAATGAAAAATAGTTTTTGGGGTTTGGGTTCCGCTTTTTTTGACTCGCCCTGTACAAGACCAGGATGTCTGTTAAGGTTTTCAAGTTGTGTGAAAGTAAAATGACTTTTGATAATAATTATTTAATCAAGAAACCATAAGCTGTTGGTGGTTAAATCTTTGCAACATTATGCATTCCCTCTCTCACTCAAGTAGACGACATGGAAACAAAGGTGCACAGAGCAAGGAGACCCACGAACGACAATGCAGGATGTGAAAGGTCATAAACAGAAGGCATTTTTACCCATTTCCAAGTAATTTTTCCCTCAATTTACTTGCCGAATACCAAGATATTATTCCAACATAAGTGTTTATTGGGGTGGTTATGGTTAGAAATCATACTACCAAGAATTATAGCAGGTGCAAAGGGCAACCCAATTAAAATGCCCCCCTCCATGCTTGAGGATCCGGAAGCCCGCCGCGTGACCCTCTACTTCTTTGAACTCCCATGAGAAATAGCAAGTGACTTTCCCACAATGCTTTGCTTATCCACGTTTCCTTTAAAAAAAAAAAGTGAAAAGCGTTTCGGGTGGCAAAATCGTCGTCCTGGTGGCAACATTGTGTGTATGCATCGGCAGAGTTGCCGCAACGATCGAATTGTCCGATAGTGTACAAGGCGTCCGCTCTAAACAGCGCCACCATTAGTTAGACGGTGTCCAGCATTCATCCACGTGTTGATATTGCGGCGGCCAGTTGACCTAAAAAATTAATTGCTTCCTTCCAGCACGGAGTGATTGACACCTTAAACACTCAAATTGGTCGGCGACGTATGAGCATTGGCCACTTCTTGATGGGAATCTATTGTGCGCAAGTCATGTGTGCTGCCCTCTGTAGTTTAGATGTCTGATTGTTTAAATATCCTACTATGCGGTAAAATATATCAAAGGTCGTTACGTAGGACTGAATTTGTCTTTTTTAAACTTGTGAATTATGATCGGAAATGGAATATTTTAAAGCTACACATTTTCTTATGTCCATTTTGCAGAGCTTTTCTCAGAGCATTTTGCCCGTGCAGACGAAGATGTGGTTCGTATCGGTTATTTTAATATGGATATAAAAGGAATAACCTGGCGCCATGACACCCGATTAAACTCATCTTCTTTGACTTGTTTTTGATCAATACCAAGCTGCCCTATTCAAATGTCAAAATATTGGCTTATGTTTGTTGGTGAAAAAAAGTGCAACAATTCCCGGCTCCAAAGATTTGTTCAAATTATCAACGATAAACAAACCAAATCAATCTGCAAACATTGAATCGCAAGATTGGCGATACACTTTTGAAATGTCAAGTGCGCAGACTGACTGAAATGCAATCTAGGTTATCACTGTCATGAAGGACTTTGTCCCCAGGTACACTGATCAACTTTGTACACTCATTCCAGAGGCTTTTGAATTTGCAAAGTCAGGTCTGCTGTGGATGCACACAATAATTGTATTCCTGCTACCCGTAGAAATCAGCTGAGGTAAGTTGTGTCTCTTTGTGAACTGTAAGCCCTTCAGAAGCAGCTGCGATTTTGATTATGAGTTTGAATTTAGCATGATCAGAAAATTATTTAAATAAGTACTCAAAGAAACCACTTTCGGTGCATGATGTTACGACTATGTTTTACACTGTCCTGACTCACGGATGTGTGAGGTTATTAAAGTCTAGAGGCCAATTTGAAAAGCATTTCTGTCGAGCACAGAATATTGTTATCGAAGACTGACCGATAACCTATTAAAAAAAGCCAACGAAATTGGGTGTTGGCATGAGTGTTTTGAAGCTACCCCCCCCCCCTTAAATTTGAGCATATGCGATTGAATTGGGCAAGGTCAGCCTGCCGTGCCTTATAGGTATTGCTATTCCCCTTGGGATGAACTGATATTGCTTATCTCACAGAAAAGGGTGTAATATTCAGATGACGTCACACACATACAACGTTCTGCCATTATTTTACAGGATTTAACTGTAGCCATGGCGACCGTTACCAAGCAACAAGGTCAGAGGTTTGTGCGTTTTTTCGGAAGCCTTGGTGTTGGGTTCAGCCTGGTTACGGTTTACGTTGGTATGAACTACGTTCCCATTGATGTGCCTGACTTGAGCAACGTGTCTGATCGAATGGTGTTTGCCTGCCGATGGCTCGTGTTGTCTCTTTTGCCACTGTTATGTTGCGTCTTCGTAAGTATAGTCTTTTTACAACAGCATCAACTCTAAACAAAGTCTTAGTTCAAGTCAGAAAACCGTATATGTCATAAAGCCAGGATCACGCCCCAAATCACGATGTTAGTAACATAAAAGCATGGCTGCAAACCCTGGGAAGAGCAAACGGAAAATCACTGAGGGATGATTCAACATTGATTACAAAATACAAATAAACCACAAACGGAAACTAATTGCGTGCATGATAATTAACTTTCAAAGTTGAACAAAGAAGTTGTTACTGGAGTGGAGATCACAGATTTCAAACTCCGATCCAGTCCCTTGCTTTCTTTTCAAATTTAAGAGTTGTTTTCCTAATGCACTTTGTCATCTTTGCTGTGTGGTTTATTTTGAAAAAAGAAAGAAAGTTGAATCATCTTTCTTCTCGTAGACGTTACACCGCTTTGTTTGTGTCTATATTTTGTAAAGTGACTTTGCTCGCTCGATGGGTTGCTTTCCTTGTCAATCGTAAGACATGATTACTAGACATTGCCTACCTCACATGGATTATAAATTAACATTAAGCGGCCTTTGCATGGCCAGTTTCATTTTGTTTTGGCTATACTGACGAAGCTTTTAAACAAATGTTTTCCTTTTCCACATTTGTAATATTGTTTATTCTACAGATCGTGGCAAGCACTCGGTTTGCCAACATTCAGACGGCGGGTATCAACCCGTCTCTCCCAAGATCTGAACAAATCGTCGGAATGAAACAACGTGTCCTTCAGAACACCTTGGAACAAACGGTGCTTCATGTGGCAGCTGTATTGGCTCTGAGCACCTACCTAGAGGGCACCAGCCTCAAACTCGTCCCGATCTCCGTTTTCTTGTTCCTCTGTGGGCGAGTCACATTCTACGTTGGCTATCTAGCAACTGATTATACACTGTATCGCGCATTTGGCTTTTCTACCACGTTTTTTAACAATATCATGGTCATTGGTTATTGTTTGTATTGTCTGTTTACTGGTGGGGCTAGTGTGGGGTTTCTGTAATCGACGCAATCGCGTTTGTATCATCATTGTCGACATTTTAAAGTCTAGATGCAAATTATCGCAAAACGATACCAATTATACATTTTAAAAAGGCAAGGAAATGCAATTTTAATCAATTTCAAAACGAATCAAAGTTTGCATGACATCATGGTGATGATGTTTACAAAATGAACATAATTCGAAACTGAAAAGTCAAACGTGTCACTTATTTTAGTTTTACCTTTTATTTGCAGTTATGACATCATTTAATCTGAGCTTTGAATATTACACATAATTATCGAAAAATTGTTGCATTTTGGCTGCGACTTTGGAGGAAATAAATCCTGTCGCTGAAAACATAATTTACTTTGAACCAAATTAAACGCAGATACATTTGCAAATACAAGACGATTTTGTTTTGGGCGTTTTGTGCTATTTTGCTTGTACATTGCAGCACAAAAATGGTTCCAATGACCGATGAAGTTGAATAAACTGAGTGACAAGAACCAATCTATGGTTTATTTGCTCTGGGTTATTTAAAAGTTTAGAAGATTGTGATTCTAGCTGTGTGATTGGCTTCTGTAAGCTGACTGGGGCTAACCTTAAAAGAACTAAACGCCGCAAAAAGACTCATTTGAGGGGTAATCATTCTAAATCGGATCGTCTTTAGAGGACGTCTCTTCTATAGCCCTTTGGGAAATGTTGCTAGCTACATGTTGACTGCACGTTTGCTACCAAAGACGGTAAATCGTCCAAGATTGACAACGATTTATGAAAAACGATGAGTTTGAAAGTTGCAAATTTAAAGAGAGCGAACACATATGCCTGTAATTGGCCATCGTCTGCACAGTGCACCCTAAAAACAGATTGGTTGGAATAACCAAAATATTGGTAAGATTTGTGATATGTGTCCAACCAATCACGTTGTTAAAACAGATATTACTACAGTTGTTGACAGTTGTTGAAACAAGTATTCTGTGTCATTTTCTTAGTTGTTCCAAACAGTCAGAATACACAATAAACTGCTATTTTTGTTTTGACAAAACAGGTTTTAGGGTCATTGCGTTTAATTGATGAAGACAATGTGTCAACGATTCTTGAAATCGCATTTTTGGATGAAAGAGGTTTCAGGGCCATTGTGTTTAAAAGTTCCAAGGTATATTTGTTTGAAGATCTCGACGTTTGGTGTCACAATGAGCCCATGGTTGTGAAAGTGTAGTTAGAGCGAGAAGGGGGCGTGGCTAGCACAATCGGATATCAAGTCGGCCTGTTATCGATCTCCACGCTAGATTATGACCTAGCTGCTCGGTTTCATGTTGAGAAGCAGTTTGAGAAGCAGTTTTACTGTGACAAATGTTTTCCAGTGGGTTGTGCCATGTCATGTGCGCTTTTAAAGAAATTTAGCTATTTCTAGAATTTAGCTTGTGCAAAATGGCCTTAAGTAAGAGGGTGTTGAAAAACGCAGCCCATTACACTTTGAATATGCAACGAAACCTGTGCGATCTTGCGTCATTTGCGGACGGGAATGCAACATGGATGAACGTTGCAAGTCTTTTAACTTTATTGATTGCAATATGTGCGAGTTGAACCTTGCCACAAGACGAGAGCATCCCCAAGACTTCATTGCAGTTCAAGGGAGTGTGTACTTTGATGCAGATGAGAACACACCTCTCTACTCACTGACTGATACTCCCTTGATTCGCTACAGAAGTTGCAAGATACTCTCGGATGCCGGTTATAATTCAAGCGGTATCTACACAATCTACCCAGCAGGATTCGGTGATGGCGGTCTTCGTGTCTACTGTGACATGGAAACTGACGGCGGGGGATGGATCGTGTTTCAGAGGCGACGAGATGGCAGTGAAGACATTTCTTAAATAGTTTACTTTTCGCATTACTTCCAACAAATTTAGTATTCATTTATCATATCAAACACGTACATAACAGAGTTTAGATACTAGTGCGCGCATCTCCAAATATTAGCGATTCTATTGACATTTTAGGCTGCCGGTTTAGGTTCGGTAATCATTCTCACATAAGCATGTGGCCTTCAGCATAACAAATATAGCAATAATATTCCCCTTCACACAGCTGGAACTAAATCAATATCGTGAGGCTTCTTGTTATCATCGGTGAGACTGCTTATTGTAAAAAAAACTGCTGTTGAAATTGAAGACGCGTCCAATGCTTTACGGTCGCTGAAATTCTTATTAAGTTTTGAGAATGGGATCAACAGGCGTGGAACTGATGTGTATGCAACGGTTGACTGTCTAATTTGAAAGGTCATTAGTAACCACCTAAGCAAAGGGTGGATGGGGGTCGTGGTGTAATATGATGGGAGAGGATATTCTCTGAAAACGTGCAGCATCGAAATGCGTGAAATGAAACACAGAATAGTGGGTAGAATGGTTTAGATTTGCCACAAGCAAACCAAGATGGAGTTTTTACATCGACATTTTCGTATGTCAGGCTAATTTCTTTGGTAATCGAATAACTGGACCTTGCACAAAATTACGAAAAAAAATACAAAACAAATATTACATGTTGCAAATATTTTTTAGGAAATCGGGATGCGGATAGGTAGAATTTTAAGGTATGAGCAAACAGAGACAACACAGTTATCATCAACACGGCCCTGGTATATAAACACATAATGGTGTTCATTCTAAGATACTGAGGTATTTTCGCAATTTCATTTTCAAAAATCGTCATGCCTCCAAGTACACGAAATGTGGGATATTGTTGTGAACTTGACTCCACATATTCGTGATTTAATTTCAGTGGTTTATATAAGGCTGTCAATTCAGGTGTTGTAATCATTATAAAGCAATTAGCTTGTGGCTTCTGGCAAAGGAAGTAGTCATAGTAAGCTGACAGTTTTCCTTCGAGGAAAGCCATATGCCCTTCATTACATGAGCATCGCTTGAAATTAATCGATATCTTATACCTGCTTATTGTAGACACTGCTACTGAAATTATAAACGTCTCTATCACATTTGACATACATAAAGGAAAACAAATGTTGAATAGCCTATGTTCGTTTATTCTGACGCTGCCGCCACTTTTTTTCAATATGTATTTTCAGCGGTGCATAAAACTATAAAATTGTCAAGTTATCAACGAAAACTAAATGATTGACAATTAAAATGGTATATCAGGTACAACATTTTGGCCTACAATATTTATTCAGGGACCACAAAAGAGGGAGGGGGAATTATATGCTCTCCCTCCCCACGCTTTAAAAAGTGGGGGAACATTTCCATTGACCCATCTATTGATGCCAATGAACACATTGAGGCAATTGAAAAATAACACAATAATACGAAAACCAATAGATTTATAATGGGAATATTTTAAGGGAGGGCGATTCCCTGAACTCAGAACATTTTCCAAAAAAAAAAGAATGTCAGGTGGTTCTCCAGACTGCATTGATAAACAACATATCATTTATACATGAATGAACCAATAACAAAACCATTTGTACATCGGAAACGCTTCATTGGTGAAACCTTTCCGTTATAAAATTCTCTTTTTTCTTTGTTTCTCTTCATAATTCAGCAATTGTGGTAATATACACACAGCGAAACAATGTTTCATTAATGCACCATTAAGGCTGATTAAAAAAATTGACAGCATAAGCCCTATATTTGCCCTATTTGTTTAGCGAGCACGTAGTGCTTGTCTTTGGCATGTTGGCACAAACTGAGACATTATAGACGTTATCACGGGCGGAGCTACACGTGTGTGTCGCAAAGATATACATTTCCCGCGTGACTGTTTGGTGACTTCACATTTATATTGGTATCAACCAATCCAGTGCAAGCTATTCATTAGCAATCATTTTACTGACCAATAAGTGTCTTTCATCTCCGTGGAATGTACACCGTGCTATAAACCAGAAGCACTACGTCGCCAATTTCATTCGAGAAGCTGTACTATGGTAACCCGTTTACGTACATCAGCAGCGTAGCGATGATCTGAAGCAGCGAAGTTGCCGGATTCAAACCTGATTGTTGAACCTCTTTTACTGCTTGTGGACAATAGCAATTAAATACATCTACATCATCGCAGAACAACACGTTGACGCTTTTGTTTACTAAGCGAGAAAATAGTTGGCATTGTCAACTTCTTCAGCAATGGCAAAACTGGACGCCGGTTTCATAGTTTTTGAATTGATGATATTTTGGGGAACGGTCTTGTTTGTCAGTGCACATCAATCTAATCCACGTCAACAAATCATGTACGCCGCGGAAAATCGTGCACTGCGAGGGTTCGTATATGCAAACAAAACTGTGCGATCTCGTGTCATCTGCGGACGGGAATGCAGCATGGATGAACGTTGCAAGTCGTTTAACTTTAACGACTGCAATAAAATGTGCGAGTTGAACTTTGCAACCAAACGAGAGCATCCCGAAGACTTCAATGCAACTAAAGAGAGTGTGTACTTTGATGAAGATGAGGACCCACCTCTCTGCTCACTGACTGATAGCTCTATGAATCGCTACAAAAGTTGCAAGATGCTCTTAGATGCCGGTTATCGCTCAAGCAGTATCTACACAATCTACCCAGAGGGATTCGGAAATGGCGGTCTTCGTGTATACTGTGACATGGAAACTGACGGCGGGGGATGGATCGTGTTTCAGAGGCGACAAGATGGCAGTGTGGACTTCTACCGTAACTGGACCGAGTACCAGTCTGGCTTTGGTGATCTGTCCGGTGAGTTCTGGTTGGGCAATGACAACTTGGTGACTCTGACGTCTGATGATTCACGTGGAACATGGGAGCTACGAGTTGATTTAGAGGACTGGGAGAGCAACACGGCATGGGCCAAGTACTCAGATTTCCAAATATCCCCGGGTGAGTACAATCTGAATATTGGCCAATACGATGCCAGCAGCACTACCGGTGACTCTCTTGCTCTTGGGCATCACACATATTCCAGGTGGGATCACAGAGGACGTCCTTTCACAACAAAGGATCGTGACAATGATCAATATTGTGCAAAAAAATACAAAGGAGCTTGGTGGTTTAATGATTGTTGGTATTCTCACTTGAATGGTCCATATTACCCAGATGAGAATGCTGGTAGTAACATGGGCGTGCAATGGTTTGCATGGAAATCGCGTGATTATTCTCTGAAAGAATGTAGCATGAAAATGCGTGAAATTGGACCATGAACGTTTTTATATTGAATAATTGTATAATGTTAATATCGAAATTATTGTTTGGTTTGTACTTGTAAGTCATGAACAATTATACAACCATGATTATCTAATACCACCTCGCACCTTTCATACATTTGAATAAACACTGACAAAACTGTGTTAGGCAATTAAACGCATTCTTGCTATGATTGATAAACATTTTTAGAAGCTAAACATTACGTGTGCAATGCCTATAAGTCCATGTGCAATTCTAAACAGTATTCATCAATACTCATGTTTAGATTTATACGTGTTTACAAAGTGATAGCAAAAAGGTTTTAAGAAAAGTGTTTGCTGAACACAGGTTTGCAGTAATTTTGTATTGGTTTGGTATTGCAACTGTTGATCTATTCAGAATTACCGTTTAAATTGTACTCCCTTTTTCTGCCTATGCACTTTCTCGTTTAAATGCCAGATATTATCATAATGGCTACGTTTCAGAAAGTGAGCACGAGTCGAATTGGACTTGCGTGTACGGACTAGAATATTGTCTTGAAACGTGCGGTATGAAACTGCTTGTTTTTGTGTACATGTATAATGTATCTGCCTTTTCATTGGTAATGCATTTCTGGGCTGATTTGCATACTGCTTTTTTGTAGCTCAGATTATACACTCTTGTATCAAATGGCTGCCACGCCCATTAAAGGGTGATTTTTTTTCTCATGAATATAAAGGTCTGTTTAAAGTTTCACACTTTAATGAAAAAGTGCACAATTTGTTCTTTTTCTTCTGGACTATGACGGAACTTGGTGGAAAATGTTCTCTCAAAATTGTAAATACGTAAACAAAAAAAATGGGTGTTTTTTTTTCGAATTTCAATATTTGGTTACTTTACCTCTTTTTTCGACCGATTTTTTTTTCTCCATTATTTTTTGGAGAAAAGTAAAAAAAAAAAAAAAAAAAAAAAAAAAAGGAATAACAGTAAAAAAAAAGAGTAAACTTTCATTGTCTAGTTAGTCTGATTTCATTATTACTTATTCATAATTATATTGCACAGACGGTATGTGGCACAAATAACGTCAGCTTAGAACTTGTAGTAGAGTGTTATTATTACTCTTTAAAAAAAGGTTTTACAATTTTCAACATATTTTTAATCCCGTTACTATTTCAAGAAAAGTATTTTAAAAATTCACAAAACCTTTGCAAGAGAATTCGAATTCCACTTATTATTAATCTTTAACTGCAAAAAATGGAAAATATTTGGATTGCTGGTTATTCGTCCTGTCAAAGAAAGCAAACTAAAAATGTTCTTCCACCGAACAAACTATTTTTCAGTCGGGGTAATTTGTGTGCAATGCAAGGAACGAATGATAATACATTTGTTCAAAATTTGAACATCACGTATGGTTTAGAGCATGTTGTCGACCGTTGAGTTCTTAATTGATATATAATTAAACTGACCATAAAAAGCGCATCTAGATGCAGGATGAGTGGCAAAAACCAACTATTTTATCGGATCTTAATTGATATGCACATTTTACTTTTTGGCTGTATATTGCGATAAACAAAATGATTCTAATGACCAATGACGTTGAATAAACTGAGTGATTGGAACCAATGCTTTTCTTGATTAATTTAAAGTAATGAGTGTGAAAAAAAATGTGATCGTAGCAGTGTGATTGGCAGCTGTAAGGCAACTCGTGCTTATGCTTCAGAAGTCCACGTATGGTTCCCCTTTCATCCGCAACGTCGTCTTCAGGCCGTCGGATTCAACCAAATCTCAATACTGGAGCCCGGGAAGTGAATCAGATTCATGGATTCTAAATAGTCGCAGTAACCTCGAAAGAATGTTTGAGATCTAACGTATACCCTCATAAAAGGTCATGCCCCAAGAAAACCCTGATAACGCAATAGACTCACTGAAATTAAACACTACCCAAACATTTTGCCCCTCCCATATAGATATTCAAATCTGCATCAGCCATACAGTCAAGACAGACATATATACCTAACATATAATTATGTGATGGCTTGGATAGGTGGAAACACAGCTAAACTATAAAGGGCAGTACAGACGTACGCGGTAGATTCCCTTCAAGAGAAGGTCAATGCTCGGGACAGAGCCTACATCCCTTCACTCGTCCGCACCGCCCTATCTAAGGACGCTGGTGACCGCTAACCCATTTCACAAAATCACATGTGAAGTTTGCACGTACACGCATCGCGCTCTTGTTATGTGTACAAGGAAGAGTTGACCCTTGACCCGTGACACAAAATCGGGAAACAAAATCCGTCCAACTGAGAGAAATAAGAGGTGACCAGCGCCCTATAGGGTAGGGCGATGGAGGATTCGCTCGTAACTCCGCCCTGCAAATAGGGCGCTGGGAAGGGCTGATGTCGTTTCACAGAATCCTGTGAAGGAAGTACGGAGGGCATTATGGGTACCTTATCATGACCTTCGCATGCAGTTAGCGCGCTGGGTATGATAAACAGCTGTAGCAGTTCATATGCTGCATGCTACGTCACAGGTCACGTAAAATCTATCCAATGAGTGCTTGAAGAGATCAGCCTTTCCCAGCGTCCTATTTGCAGGGCAGGGCCCGTACGAGCGAAGGTGGAGAAAAGGGATCTTTCCACATCACAGACTTATCGTGGCGCTTGGTGGCGCTCTAACTAAAAATAGTGAAGAGTCTATATACAGCTCTGACGTCACGTTTTGTATACAAAATGATGTACATGTTCGCCAGTATGGAAAAAGTGCAACGGGTTATGGATTATGCCATGTCGAAAATGACAGTGTGAACGTTATAACATCGTTATTGAAAAAAAGGTTATGGCATTTCTAGGTAGAGTAACAAATAAACCAAAGTAATCAATCAGTATGTCCGTGATTAATTTGTACATTTTGAAGAAAATTCTTCAACGGTTTACTTTTTGCATTACTTCTCACAAATTTAGTAATAATTTGTCAATTAAACACCTACATAAAAGGGTTTAGATACATTGTACTTGTGCGTGCATCTCCAAAAATGTGCGATTCTATTGACATTTTAGGCTGCCACTTTAGGTTTGGTAATCATTCTTACTTGAACGCAATAAACATGTGGCCTTCAGCATAATAAGTAGAGCATAATAACCAGAACGTTGTTCCTCAAAAGCAATAATATTCCCCCTCCCGATTTCATTGGAATTGCTGGAGCTAAATCAATATCGTGAGGCTTCTTGTTATCATCGGTGAGACTGCTTATTGTGAATACTGCTGTTGAAATTGAAAAGGCGTCCAATACCGCCTGGTCACTGAATTTCTTATTACTTTACGAGAAAAGAATCAACGGGCGTGAAATTGATGTGTGCGCAACGGTTAACTGTCTAATTTGAATATTCAATAGTAACCACATAAGCAAGTAAGTGTGGATGGGGACGTATTGTAATATCATAGGAGAGGATATTCTCTGAAAACGTGCAGCATGAATTTGCGTGAAATAAACCCAAATACAATGTAGTGAGTAAAATGGTTTAGATTTGCTACAAGCAAACTAAGGTGGAGTTTTTACATCATCATGTTTGTATGTCTCACGGGCTTATTTTTTTAGTTATTGAAATTATAGTCGCACAAACTGGACCTTGCACAAACGAAATCATATTCAACGAAACAAAAAGACGTACATTAATAACGATAAATGAAATATTATGGCGAGGTATATTAACAAAAGATGCTTGATATTGGATATATTTTTAGGAAATGACGATGCTGATAATTACGTACAATTTTAAGGTATGAACTAATATACAAAACACAGTTATCATCAACAAGGCCCTGATTAAGAACTAAATAAATAAAAGTGACAATCTATAATATTGAGGCATTTTCGCATTTCTTTCAACAATGCAATCGCCAGCCCTCCAAGTACAAATGTACATGAAACTTGAGGTATTGCTGTGGACTTGACTCACCATATTTGTGACGTAATTTCAATTTTTTAATATAAGGTTGTCAAGTCAGGTGTGGTGATCATAAATGAATGCAACAAGCTTGTGGCTTCCGGCAAAGGGATTAGCCATAGTAACAGAGAGTTTTATCTTCAGAACAACATTTTGCTCCTGCAAACATTACATTAGCATCGCTGGAACTAAATCAATATCGTTAGGGATCTTGCTATCATATACCTGCTTATTGTCGTCACCACTCCTTAAATTACAGACGTCCATATCACAAATGTACGTTCGTCCATGTCTTACAGATCGATGAGACTACACGCCTACAACACATCTGCCAATCAAAGGCTAGGGTTTGTGACTGGCGGGTAAACTGACCAATTACGAGCCACTTGTGTGGAATTACGTATCATACCGCGACAACCAATCACTGAATTACACATCGTCGTGCAATACATTCCTTGCCAAGCTGTAACAAAATATATCACCACCAGACCTCTACACCAGTAGATAGCTATCTAGAAGTGATTTCGAGAAGTCTGCTTTAGCAAGCAGTGTTGTTTTTTATTTTGGTCGTATCGCAATCATTACTCATAGTTCAATCGGACACGACAATTCGCTAAATTTTAATCCCTGTAATTTCAACTATTTGGCACGCATTACAAGAAAAAAACTGAGATTGGCGTTAAATCCCTTGATCTTAACGAGGACTTCAACTAATGTAAACAATGGCTAAACAGATCTTTACTGGCCTGGAACTGTTTCACATAATATCCTTCATATGCCAGGGAGCTACCTTGTCTGTCTCTGGATTTAAAACTTCTTATACATGGGAACACACGTTTTATGCCGCTGAAAATTGCGCCCTAAAAGAGTTTGCGTATGCAAAAATAAATGCGCGATCTCGTGTCATCTGCGGACGGGAATGCAGCATGGATGAGCAGTGCCAGTCGTTTAACTTTAACGACTGCAGTAAAATGTGCGAGTTGAACCTCGCCACCAGACGAGAGCATCCGGAAGACTTCAACGCAACTCAAGGGAGTGTGTACTTTGATGCAGATGAGGACACACCTCTCTACTCACTGACTGATAGCTCCTTGAATCACTACAAAAGTTGCAAGATGCTCTTGGATGCCGGTTATCGTTCAAGCGGTACCTACACAATCTACCCAGAGGGATTCGGTAAAGGCGGTCTTCGTGTCTACTGTGACTTGCAAACTGACGGCGGAGGATGGATCGTGTTTCAGAGGCGACAAGATGGCAGCGTGGACTTCTACCGTAACTGGGCCGAGTACCAGTCTGGCTTTGGCGATCTGTCCGGTGAGTTCTGGTTGGGCAATGACAAGTTGGTGACTCTGACGTCTGATGATTCACGTGGAACATGGGAGCTACGCGTTGATTTAGAGGACTGGGAGAACAACACGGCATGGGCAAAGTACTCAGATTTCCAAATATCCCCGGGTGAGTACAATCTGACTATTGGTCGATACGATGTCACCAGCACCGCCGGTGACTCTCTTGAGTATCATAGAGGAAGCCCCTTCACAACAAAGGATCGTAACAATGATGCAGTTAATTATAATTGTGCCCAACACAACTCTGGAGCCTGGTGGTTTAATTGGTGTTTTGCCTCCCACTTGAATGGTCGCTACTACCCATATGCGAATGAAGGTAGTTACAATGGCGTGCAATGGCTTTATTGGAAACCAGTTCCTTATTCTCTGAAATCATGTAGCATGAAAATGCGTGAAATTGCACCATGAATGAAGATTGTTCTTCTAGTGCATGTAAACCATAGATGATTGTTCAATCATGGTCATCTAGTACCATTTCGCGCCTTAAATTTGCATCACTTTTGAATGGTTCACATGCAAATTGTAAATCTGTTCAAAATTAGGTGTTGTTGTAAATAAAAGTTCACGTGCACATGCAGTGCTAGCTGTACATCTCTTTTCGGAAAATAGAAGAAAGCGTACTTTCCCCTCACATTGAAAACGCATCAAATCGCCTTTGCAAACACTGTCTAATTTAAATGGTGAAAAAAATCACCCAAATGGGGGAAATGTGATACAGAAAAGAACCTAGCTTGCTTGTTGACTCTAATTTGAAATTTAATGCTGCCTTAAATCCGCGTTCTATCGCCAAATTGAGTAATGTAATTACGTTTGTTCTTTTGACAAATAAGGTTATTTAATGGTCGTGAAGTTCATTCAATTTTGTCGAGCCAGTAACAAGAGGTTGACATTTGATTGCCGATAAACGAAGAACAAATCTACGGTGACAACATCCTGCCCGTGTTGATTTGGTTGCAATTACTTTTGTGAAATTAAATTGCGAATATATGCTTGAATATTCAACTCAAGAATGATTCAAAATGTAATTTTGAAAGTCTGTCAACAGAAAAGAAGTGACTTAAACGAACTTGAATGACAGAAACGAAATCTCGTGTGCATAAACACAAAATTGAATGCAAAAATATTCTAAAAGTGAAATTAAGAATAGTTCAATCTGAATTTGAAAAAAAAAACATTCAAAGCGTTATAATAGAAATGAATGGAACGTTTTGCTGAATATTTTTTGAGGGGAAGTTAAATAGCTTTCCTGTTTGTGATTGTCATCATCAAGTTTCTTCTGTCTTTTCGCATTCTCGTTCCCTCAACGTTGTCTAATAATGTACATGTATATTCAAATGTCACTATTATTTTAACGTTTTATTGCATAAATGATGTCAGTTTAGATACTGTGTTTTAGTGTTATTCCTCTTGCAAAAAAATGTTTCACTATGTTTAGCGCAGCACAAGAAAATGTAAAAAAAAAATTAATAGTAAAATTAGTCTGAACTTATTATTTGTTATCAATATTAATACTGTACAAAAAGGAATATTACACACAATGATGGAAGCCCCAAAATGTGGGCTACTGGTTGTCCCTTCTGCCAACAAATGAAAATTAAGATTTCTCTCCAACCAATCGAACTTAATCCAGAAGTTTTGTATCGTTAGCTGTTGTTCATTTATTATGAATTCAAAACTCGGAGTAGTTTTAGGGGGTGTAAATTCTTTGAAATTACAGGGAACAAAGTCTGGCTGTTTGTTGTTTATAATGATGATGTAAATTAAACGAAATTTCAATATGCATAATTTAGGTCGTATTGTTACCCCTGGGTGCTGAATTGAAAGCTAATACAATTTAACAAAGAAGACACAGCAAGAGACGAGAAGAGCGCAAAAACTATGAATTTCCATTGAATCTGAATTAATATGCACATTTTACTTGCTTGTATAATGCGATGCCAAAACAAAAATGGTTCCAATGACCGATGACGTTGAATAAATTGAGTGACGAGAACCAATACATATTAAGTTTTTTCTCGATCGATTTAAAGTCTTAAATGTGCGAGAATGTGATTCTATCAGTGTGATTGGCACTTCTGAGGCGACCTTTCATCCGCAGCCACGTCTTCAGGGCGTCAACTTCAACCTCAATCTCAATACTGGACCCGGGATTCTGGATTCCGATTGGTTGCCAAAAGTATCGGACTAACTGTTCACGATTTTGGATTATCTAACAGTAACTTACATCTTCGACAAAAGTCACAACCCCAACAAAACCCAAGCAACGGAATAGTGTCCTCAAAAATTAGCATCTACATAGCTATGTAGATGCTAAGTGATCACATTTTGAGGATACAATACTCTAGGAGTCGCACATGCGCAGTTAAAAGTGCGGCTGGAACGTACTAGTCTGGTTCCAAAACCAAAAGATTCTGACTATTCCTGATGAATCTTAGGTCCGGTAGCCTCCGGTAATACATTGTGTTACAATTTACGTCACGTGACTAAAACGGGAGGAATCGGATAGCGCCCGAGTATTTCCGAGTATAACATAGGTTTAATTAACTGCTAATTGCTTATTAAAATTTTTTTAATGAGTTGATAATTAAAATTCATTGCTTTCATTTTAAAAAACTTGAATTTTCGACGATTTTGTGCATCAAATATACTCGGATCGTATGGGCGAACTTTTTGATGCGTCATGTACAATTTTGAATTTGACGACCGTTTACCGAGATTTTCCAAAACTCGGTCTTCATTCGGCTCCGCCTGCTAACAGTGCTATTTGGTCGTCTAATTTTGAAGATTCCAGATCAACATTAGTCAATGTTATCTTACAGAAACATCAAACTTTACTATCATAACTGTATGATATTACGAAACAAGTGATTTATTTACAAATTTGATCAGAACACTAAACGCTATAAGTGATAAAGCGAAATCGGAAACGAAGCCGAGCTTTGAAAAGGGTCATCAATGTCGTCATGTTTATTTGTAGCCATGGAGGCTGCCTGACCTACAATTTAGACTTGAGCGTCGGGAATACTTGTCAGGTCTGGGAACCAGACTAGGAACGTACGTGTAGAAGGCCCTGGGTAGCGGCTACAGCCACTTCACATAGAGGCGTGTGTTATACAGCCAGCTGATTCGGACACGACATTTAGGACAGAGATTAGTTCCTAAAAACCCATCTCAGCACAGAGTTGTAATGACTCGAGTCAATGATTCGACTCAAGTTTGACTCGATTCACAATTTTTGGTGACTCGACTCCAGGGGCAGATCCAGGCGGGGGGCGTAGGGGGCTTAGAAAAAAAGACTTAGAGAGACAGAGAGACTCAAAAAGAAAGGAAAAAGAGGGAGAGAAAAATTAATAGGGCAGTTCACGTCAGACCGTAGCCTGCTAGAATCAGTTGCACATAAGACAACAATTATTATTTGGGGTCTGTCATAGTTTTACTACAATTAAAAAAAAACCTGACAGGACCAAGAACTGCAACGAGACAGCACGCTTGACGAGACAGAGGGCGCGCGCGACGAAACAAAAAGGCAGCGGCGAACGAGAGAAGACATATGCTGTAAAATATGCTGTAGTTTACAGGAAAATTCACCAACTCCACTCTAGCAGGGCTGGCGGGCGGGCACGTCTTCGGCATGGACGTCAATCGATGTGGGCGTGGGGGGACACACACACACACACACCCACCCACACTTTTAAATCCGTTCAATGACAGGTTAAGAAATGAGAGATGGCGTTTATTATAAATATGAAGACATTTTCTCAATCTTGCAACCCAGCAATCGTAATGTCATTCATAAATACAAAGGAGTAGAGATTTTTGTGAACGCAAGTCTGCATATGTCAGACTGTCAATTCAGGTTTGTCAATCATTCTTAACTGAAAGCAATAAGCTTGATGCCTTCGGCATAAGGAGTAGGCATGGCAACCAGAGAATTACCCCTCGAGAGTAACAATACATGCGTCCCAATCTCATTCGATTCACTGGAACTAAATCGATATCGTGACAGTTCGTCATTTTGTGAAGCTGCTGATTGTCGAAACGACTGCTTTAATTATTGACGTCTTTATCACTAACCTTCTAATCCAATTTTGAGAATGGAATCACAGAGCGTGAAATTGATATGAAGGCACGAAATCTCCTGATTGTCGGTGCCTTTGTTATTACAGTATTTAGTTTGTATGACGACAAGTAATTAAAACGAAGACAGGACTTCAGCGCTTCACAAAGAACGTTAATCCATATATTACAGACCGAGAGGTAATAAGCTTACGGTGAGACATCCGCCAATCAAAGGCTACGGTTTGTGACTGGCGGGAAGACTGACCAATAACAAGCCACTGAACTGGAATGACGTATTCATCTGATAACCAATCAGAGAGACCCACGTCGTCTCCCTTAACCTATTTCTTTCTGTAAGCTGCCCAATCCATCATCACCAGGCCTCTGTATCACAGCAATCTAGCAGTTGTGTAAAGTAAACAGCTACCGAAAGCAGTGTGGCTTGATTTTTTGTCGTTTTGTTCCCCGTGATTTCAACTATCTGGCACACATTACTAGAAAAACTAACGTCGACGTTTAATACTTCAGTCACAGCTAGGACTTCAAGTTTTGGAGAGAAAAATATGGCGAAAATGATCTTTAGTGGTTTGGAACTGTTTCACATAATAACCATAATATGTCAGGGAGCTACCTTGTCTGTCTCTGGATATGAAAATTCGTATACAGGGAAACACACGTTTTATGCCGCTGAAAATCGCGCCCTAAAAGAGTATGGGTATGCAGCAAAAACAATTCGATCTCGTGTCATCTGCGGACGGGAATGCAGCATGGATGAACGTTGCAAGTCTTTTAACTTTAACGACTGCAATAAAATGTGCGAGTTGAACCTCGCCACAAGACGAGAGCATCCCGAAGACTTCAATGCAACTCAAGGGAGTGTGTACTTTGATGCAGATGAGGACACACCTCTCTACTCACTGACTGATAGCTCCTTGAATCGCTACACAAGTTGCAAGATGCTCTTCGATGCCGGTTATCGTTCAAGCGGTGTCTACACAATCTACCCAGATGGATTCGGTAATGGCGGTCTTCGTGTCTACTGTGACATGGAAACTGACGACGGGGGATGGATCGTGTTTCAGAGGCGACAAGATGGCAGCGTGGACTTCTACCGTAACTGGGCCGAGTACCAGTCTGGCTTTGGCGATCTGTCCGGTGAGTTCTGGTTGGGCAATGACAACTTGGTGACTCTGACGTCTGATGATTCACGTGGAACATGGGAGCTACGTGTTGATTTAGAGGACTGGGAGAACAACACGGCATGGGCAAAGTACTCAGATTTTCAAATATCCCCGGGTGAGTACAATCTGAATATTGGCCAGTACGATGCGAGCAGCACTGCCGGTGACTCTCTTGGGTATGACATAAATCCCTTGTGGTATCACAGAGGACGTCCCTTCTCAACAAAGGATCATGACAATGATGCGTCAGATATGTATAATTGTACACAAAAGTATACAGGAGCCTGGTGGTTTAATGATTGTTATTTCTCTCACTTGAATGGTCAATATTGTCCCGATGAGAATGCTGGTATTTACCAGGGCGTTCAATGGCGTTCATGGCAATCGGGTTATGCTCTGAAAGCATGTCACATAAAAATGCGTGAAATTGGACCATTTTGATTTAGTAATTATTTGTTTAATGAGTTTGTGCTTGTAAATCATGGATAATTGTGCAGTATGTTTATCTTTTATCATTTCTCGTTTTTAAAATTCATTGCTTTTGCATTTTACATTGATCTATTCCGAAATAGTTTTTTCATGAAAGTGACTGTTTTATACTGTGTACTGTCTAATTCAATTGCCAAATATAGCCCAAATATCTTTGACGTAGAAAATGAGCAGGAGTCGTTTTGGGCTGGCTGGCACGGAATATTCCAACAAAAGTGTTCAACGTTTGATTCGTAAAATAGGCCCATGCATTTTCCTTTCAGTTTTTAAAAGGCATTGTTGGCACATGAAGATGGGACCTGATTTTCAATTTAAATAATGTTTGATATATTTTAGATTTGTTTTTTTCTTTGTTATTATTAGAAGAATACCTGTATTTTGTCTTGCATCTGACATAACAGAAAGGTTACATAATGACAAGTACACATTTGATCCAACCGAAATGTTGAAGTTGAGGCAAATTCAACGGATGCAGCTACGACGAAAAGCTTGTTTCCATGCTAAATGTACATGTTTGATGGGCTAGATTATCAATAGGCATACCCACAGGCAGAAAATGTATTTATACGTGTAAAATAAACATGTTGTTCGCCTTATGTTACAAATCGCGAGATGATTGTTCATTTTTCCCGTCCTTTAAGTTTATGTTTTTAAGGACAGAAATCTTCTTGAATTTCGGAATTAAAATAAAATGCAAGACATTTAAGCGTCTCTCTAACTAAACATTATGTAAATACATCTCGCAAATTGTAAATATGTAAACAGAAAAAATACATGTTAGGTGTTTCGGCTCTTAAAATTATTTACATATTTTATTGCACAATTATAGTTCACGAAATTATGACTTCAGTTTAGAAACTGCGGTTAAGTAGTATTCCTCTTGTAAAAAGTTTTAAATATTTCAACATATTGTTACTCCACTTGATCTCACAAGAACTTATATAAAAAAATTCACAAAACCAAAAGAATTCGAATTTAAAATCAAATCAAAATTTGAAATTAGTCTCATGTTATTACGTGTTTTTTTTGTCTACACCAATTCAAAATATTTAGCCTATTCCTTCTGCAATTCAGTGTGTATAAAAAAATGCAAACAAAATATAATGGAATGCCAGACGTAAACTGTGTAACCAAAATAGATAATATAGGTATGGTTTAGAAGATACGCCTTTTCACTTTAAAATGAGACATCAAACGTCCAAATCTGATAATTTTTGATAGAGTTATGAGTAATTTTCAAAGAGACGGCAAATTGACCATGGGACCAAGTTTTCAATTTTAGAAATTGGGACAAAGGTAGCCTAATTGCCTTTGTGCGGAATTGCCTGGCCGACGAAAAATGTGTTAAGCGAGTAACCACAATTCTAAATACTTTCTTCCTATCACCTCATGCTAAAAAATTTGTAAAGTTTGTAAACATGTTTAAATGCTAGAACGTTTTAGCAGGAGGTATTAATAACAAGAAAGTGTTTAGAATTGTGTTTACTCGCTTAACACATTTGTGTAGACCAGGCAATATCCAGACAGAGGCAATTAGGCTACCTTTGTCCCAATGCCTCAATCTGAAAACTTGGTCCCATGTTCAACTTGACCTTTCTTCCAAAATTACTCATAACTCTGTCGAAAAATATCAAATTTGCACGTTTGTAAAGTGGAAGGGCGTATGTTTCAAACCATACCCATGTTATTGATGTTGGTTACTCATTCTACGTCTGGCATTCCGTTATATTTCGTTTGCATTTTTTTAAAACACTGTATAGAAAGAAAACAATTCTCCGCCCAATCAAACATTTTTGTCACATAAGGCTCTGCTTTGTCAGCTATTGTTCAGTAATGACCGTGTTGCAAAAAGTCGTGGGTTTTTTTTGGGGGGGGGGTTGTAATTTGTTTGAAACGAATGCTAATCATTTGTTATATTATTATAAATAAAGCAACATTTTGATATCATGCATGATTTAGGGTGTTTTGTCATCCTGAGTGCTTATTTGAATGTAAAATACATTTACCATAAAACACACATTGGGATACGGGAAAAGGGCAAAAACATTATTTTCATTGAATTTTAATTAACGTGCACATTATTACCTTTTGCTTGTATATTGCGATACAAAATTATAATGTTCCAATGACCAATGACGTTGAATAAACTGAGTGATGAGAACTATATCCATGATTGAGTTTATTTCTAGATTGATAAGTGTTGAGTGTGCGAGAATCTGATTCTAGCAGTGTAATTGGCAGCTATAAGGCGACTTGGGCTTATTCTTTAAAACCCCAACTTCGTCTTCAGGCCGTCAATATCAACCTGAGTCTCAACGAGGAACCCTGGCAGGTGAGTTGCATTCCTGGATTCCGATTGGTTGCCGCGTCGCGAAAGATCTGTTCACGAATTTCTGAGATCCAACATATATCTTCGAAAAAAGGTCACGCCCACAACACCACCCTAATAACGCAATGGGTTATCTCTAGTTGAACACTATCCAAACATTCTGTCCTTTCCCCATATAGATAATAAATCTGCAATTGAGTCAAGACAGACATACCTACAACAGATGTAAATGCGTGGCATGGGTAAACATAGACCTGTAAACTATAGAGGGGAGCACACTTGCATAATATTTTCCCAACCGAGGAGACCCATGCCCAGGGCAGGGCTCTGTCTGCCCTATATTCCTTCGTTGGTCCCCACCGCCCCATCTTATGAAGATGGTGCTCGCTAATCCATTCACAGAATCAGTTTCGCAAGGCATTGATGATAGGCCACCTAATGTTAGCAATGACGTTCATTCCATCGCGCTTCCGAAGAACCAAAATCCGTCCAATGAGAGCTCAGACAAATTGGAGGTCAACAGCGCCCTTAGATAGGACGGTGGACGAGCGAACCCTACCCCATGTTCATGCACGGGCTTATCATGACGCTTGGTGACGCTCCAACTAAAGACCACACGGCTCTGACATCTTGTGGAGCCGTAGATACTTATCAAGCACTGACAATTTAGTCAATGTTATGGTTAGTTGCAGAAAAATGCCTGGGCAGATTTCTCGTAAAATAGAAACACAGTATTCATTCAAGAAGGCCGTGGTTATTGTTTGAATGATGGCGATTATTCTCAAACCTTGAGACGTGTTTACAAGTCTTCCAACCAAGCAATTGTAATGTCGTTAAGACAGATGAGTTAGGATTTTGTGAACACAAGTCAGAATATTAGTGACTTTATTTAATTTCAGACTGTAAGTTCGGTCTGTTGATCAATCGTTTAAATGTCCCTCAAGAAAAAAAATACGTCCCAATCTCATTAGATTAACTGAAACTAAATCAATATCGTGGCAGTTCGTGCTATAATTCCTAAAGTTGCTGATTATAAAGACCCCTGCTTAGATGATGGACGCATTTATCACTATTACTTTCCCATTAAATGATGCGAATGGAGTCAAAGAACGTGAAATTGATATGAACGTACGCAATATTCCAAGTGCCTTCGTTATAACAGTCATGCATCTTTTATGACGACAATTAATTGACCACAATAATTGTGTTGCCTTGGCAGAAGGAGTAGGCATAGTAACCAGAGAATTGTCCCTCGAGAACAACAATATGTCCCATTCAAACTCGATCATTCGCTTCACTGGAACTAAATCGATATCGTGACAGTCCGTGTTATCATGTGAAGTTGCTTACTGCCGAAATGGCTGCTCCAATTACAAACGTCTGTATCTCTGACTTGCCATTCAATGCATATAATGCCTTTCTCATTCACTGTTGAGAATGGATTCAAAGAGCGTGCATTTGGTATGAACGCAATGTCTTTATGGTTTGGTGTGCATTATTATTACAGTGGCGTTTTCTATGACGACAACAAATAAACAAAGCGAATACTGGCCTTAAATCCTCCACAATTTATACGTTTACCCAATATTTACAGACCAATGAGATTATACGATTGTAATACAACATTAGTTCCCTTTTTGGTCCATTCCAATGACATTAGCACAGTTAAAAAACACTCATTTTAAATTGTTTTTATCTGTGCAATTTTTTTTATTTCTTCACATTGTGTATGATGCTGAAAGGTTTAAAATAGGACTGAAAAGCATAAGATACCTGTTCATATGGAAAATAACAGGTATATTCATCAAATTCATTGGTGCTCTTGTCATATTATGTGTCAAGTTGTTTGTAAAGATTGGGACACAATCCGCTACATGCATTTCATGCACAAAAAGGTACAGGGTAAATCCCTCAACTGTAGTAATACCATTGGAATTGACCAAAAAGGAGTTTTGTTTAATTGGCATTTTCTCAGCAACCCAATATGCTGTTTTCGTGATTACTTTTTTTTCAGTATTTGAAGAAAAGAACTCTCAGCTTTAATCTGATATCTAAAACATATCAATCACAGATCATGTTTTTGAAAAAGGCAAATGTTTCAGGGTTGCATTTTTAGGGGTCACCCTGTAGAGTCTATTATCTGCGTTCAGTCCACTTGCCGGGTTTTAAATGTACTTGTTTAAAACCGGCTTAGCACATATTCCTTTGCTAAGTGTGAATGGGGATGTGGTGTACTCAGTGGAACGGATTATTCTCTAAAAAAAGGCTAGCATGAAATTGCCAGAAATGAAACACACAATAGTGAATAAAATGGTATGGAATCGCCACAAGCAAACTAAGATGGAATTTTGTATCAGAATGTTCGTATTTCAGGCTAAGTTCGTTGGTCGTTAAAATATATCCGCACAAACTGGACCTTGAAGAAACAAAATTGTATTCCAAAAATGACGGACGGAAATATTAAGTGTGACCATCATGGAAAGGGTTGTTAAAAAATATGCAACATGTAACAGATTCATTTTAGAACATAATAGGTCTGCAGATTATGTAGATGTTTACGGTATGAGCAACCATACAAATGTGGTCATCATCAACAAGACCCTCAAATAACGGTGATCATTCT